AAATAATAATAATTTACATTTCACATTAGAGTAGTCATTACATACTACTTTTTACAAGCTACATTGCTAGACTTGACACTCTTGGGGCAGTGTTTGTACCGCCTAAGAAGCCTCTTCACAGGGTGTCTAACCGGGTCCAGGCTAACTTATCTCCTAAGATAGTCATTCACCTTTGACTGCCTGAAACTAAATCATTGTGACCTGAAGTCAGTGTTCGTGAAGGCTCTCTCTCACCTTGCAAGATTGTCAGTGGGACCATGGTCCAGTACCGGCCGTGACGAGGTCAAGGACTCAACCCTTCTCGTGAGCTGTCAACTGCAGAACATTTTCACCCTCAACTGTCGTAGTTTGGTCGGCGCCATTTTATGTCATAGTTTAGTCTCGGTGAGTCAGTGTTTGGCCTTGAGGACGTGAATGAAGGTAAGTATGCCAGGAGCGGGTGCCGGGTGCCGCCTTGCTAAGGGTTCTTACCAAGGGCGCGAGCCTCAACCCTGACACGTGTTCTGGGTCGCAGTCACCACCACAACAATATTTCCTCTTCCCTCTAACTTTTATCCATTTAAACGCGATTTTTTTCGCTCGCTCAATACTCTTAAGTTACATTGCTTTATCTTTTCCTTCTTAAAATGTTGGTGAACAGGTGCATGGGGGGGAATTATTTACGTATGTGTGTGTGGTTATCAAAGTGCAGGTACAGGATGAGAGCGCTCGTACGGACGAACGCACGCGCGCGTTCAGATATACGTACGCACGTACGCACGCGCGCGCGCGCACACACACACACACACACACACACACACACACACACACACACACACACACACACACACACACACACACACACATACACACACACACACACAAATAGGTCCTTGCAGCCGAGCGAACAGCATTCATGGGTCGTAGTTCTAAGGGCCCGGGGTCGATTCCCGATCGAGGTAGCAACAAATGGGTTCAGATTCTTTCGCCTGTTGTTGTTGTTTTTAGATTTAACTACTTAGAACGAAATGTTCATGTAGCACGGGCTATGGTGAGCCCGTAAGGGTTCTTTCACCTGATGCCCCCTGTTTACATAATAGTAAATAGGTGCACGTGAGTTAGGCAGTTGCTACGGGCTGCATCCTGGGGATGTGTGTATCTGCTAGAGAAGTAGTAGTAGTAGATATGTAGTAGTAGATATGTAGTAGTAGATATGAGAGAAAATAGCTCGGGAGTCACTTCGACAACTGACAGTTAGGAAAGCTGCTTCAAGAGAGAGAGACAGCTTGATTGATTGATTGATTGATTGATTGAAGAATAAGCCACCCAAGAGGTGGCACGGGCATGAATAGCCCGTAAGTGGGTGGCCCTTTTGAGCCATTACCAGTATCAAGAGCTGATACTGGAGATCTGTGGAGGTGCGACTGCACCCTGCGTGACGGGAGATGTCTCCCGTGGCTTATTCACGGGTAAATACCGCTTATATATAGGCTGATAAGAGCTTATACAATGAATGAAATGCCCTATGAGAAAAAGCAGGAGTGGTGTTAGGGCAGCATTCTTGGTGTGAGCGTGCATATGTTGTGGTGGTGGGCAGGATGAGTAGTGACGCCACACACATACACACCTTGGCAAGTGATCTTACAGAGCCACACACAGACAGGCCAGGCTGAGTCAGCGGTGTATGGTCCACGCACGTGCCCGAGACACACACACACACACACACACACACACACACACACACACACACACACACTATAGTGACACTCAGTTATGATGTCTAGGCAGGCGCAGCTGGCTGGCACTCACCGTTATTTTGTTTTAACATGCGTAACTAGCTGCATGATACGCAAATTTATGGTATAGCTGACTAGCTGACAAGAAATGTAAATTAGTTTAAAAATCATTAGGGTCCGGGAACTGTAGCTATTATGTGACTGTAAGCCTTTGTCTGGTCCTGGGGATTTGTTTGACTTTAAGTTTTGTGTTTAATAACTTTGTTGTGTTTAATAACTTTGTTATGAAACATACATAATGACGAAACCATTTAACTTGCATTGACCACCTACATAGAGTTCTTGAGGGGTTTGATAAAATACAAAGTTCTTTAGTAAATACAGAAGCATTTCCTTGTCGTTCACAGCTACATGACCTGTCCTTTTTTTTTCAAAGGACCAGCCTTCTCTTTAGACTTTGGTATCTCTGGAAGAATCCTTTGTTGTCTGTTTTTGCCAGCAAGATGCACTTGAATGAGTTTAATCCGCATCCCAACCCAGTGTTATGCCCCAGATCTTGAAGACTCCCGTCAGGTCCCAGAGACAACCCCCCCCCCCCCCGCCTCCCGTTCAAGTATGTTTATTGAGACAAGAACAAAATACATCTCAAAGGGATAGAGTAGGAAATGTATATGTTTATCTGTCAGAATGTTTGGTAATATGTTTATTGTTTGTGATGTGTGTCTATGTATGTATTAACACCATGTACTGAACGGGGTGAGAATAGCTTGAGCTACCTCATCCCTTTGTGTGTATTTTACCTCAATAAACTTATTTCAATTTCAATTTCAAGGGATAGAGTAGCTTAGGCTATTTCCCCCCCCCCCCTCTCATGTCTTAAGGTCTACCCACCTTACCCTTCCCAAGTCATTTTTCAGTATCACATAATTTGCTTTACGGAAATCTAATGCCCATACCAATTCTCCTTTTCAACATTTCAATTCTTAGTTAAGTCAAATTTTCTTATGATCACTCTTCTTTAACATTTTTATTTCTGTGATTTACTAGTCGTTCTCTGTTGGCCAGAGTCAAGTCTTAAATTATGGATCTCCCCGAGTTGGTTCCATAATGAAAATTGTTTAAGGCAAAATGCTTTACGGAAATCTGATTAACTTAAGGGTGTTCAGCGAAGGTTGACAAAGTTAGTGCTATAAATTAGAAACGTCCCATATGAAGAGAGATTGACAAATCTTAATTGATATTCCCTATCAAGAGGAAGAGTTAGGGACGACACTAGTGACACTCACATGGGAAATAGACTTACAGGTTCCGGAAGATGAGAGGAAATGTCAGCACTGTGGAGAAATGCCAGACAGACCACTGGAACATTATCTAACACAGTGCATAGTTACAAACCCATTAAGATTTCAACTTACATTCAACAGAGCAGAAGTTGTTGTTAAACACGTGGGACAAAATCTTACAGAAGCGACCATACGAGTCATAAATACTCATACTCCGCCCAAGTAAAACAGAAACAAGCAACACTTAGTGGGCCAGCCAGAGGCTTAGGGCCCACGCAGGAATATCCCTGAAAAAAACTCTCTTTTGCCTATTTATTGCCTTCGCCTCCTTCCCTCATCTCCCACAGCCCCGCTCCTGTGCCAGGTAAGTCCTCTACGGGCTCACCATAGCCCGTGCTACTTAGATTTTTTTCTTCGGGGTCGGGGTCTTCTGAGTAGTTGAATCTAAAACAACATTCCCTTATCACAATCGACTTGACAATGGTCCAGGACGGACCGAAACGTCGCCGTCGCTTCACTTTCTAGTGTGTGGTCTGGTCAGGTTATCTTGAGATGGTTTCGGGCTTAGCGTCCCTGCGGTCCGGTCTTCGACCAGGCCTCCTTTTTGTTAAACCCCCCTCCCCAGGAAGCAGCCCATAGCAGCTATCTAACTCCCAGGTACTTATTTACTGCTAGGTAACAAGGGCATCAGAGTGAAAGATACGCCAATTTGTCTCCGCCTCCACCGGGGATCGAACCCAGAACCTCAGGACTACGAATCCGAAGCGCTGTCCACCCAGCTGTCAGGCGCCCATATGGTGGCTGATAGAACACAAAACTATTTACGTAAATTGGATAAGTTTATATTAAAAAAAGACCTGAGTAAATTCTGATTTGGAAACGGGGGTAACATAATAGACTTGGGATCACTGGAGTGTTTCAAGCGTAGGTTTGACATATACTTAATATATGTATATGATTTATTTCAGTATATAAATAGAAGCTTCCTCGTGTGGACCAACAGGCCTCTTGCAGCTTCATGTCTTATGTATATATTATACAATTCTGATACGGCAAGAATTTGTCTTAAAAGAAACACAAATATGGTAGTAATACATAAGGTTCAATACATAACACATACATAAGTAATGCATAAGATTCTGCCCGAAACGCTGCGCGTACTAGTGGCTTTACAAGATTGTAATTACCATATTATGTATCCTCACAATCCCAATGTACCTTCTTGTATATATATAAATAAATAAATAAATAAGATTCCGCCGGTAAAGGCTTCAGCAAATCTAGTAGAAAGTGACGTTTGTACTCAAGTGAGTTTTTGTAGTGTAGTTGTGTTTTTTTTTTTTTTTTAAGTGTGTTGCGACCTCGAAAGTTGGTTGAGTATGAGTGATTGGTGGGAAGAAGTGGGTGACAGTAAGACTCAATGGACACGGCCATATTTGTGCGTACGCCAGCTAGCCAGCCCGTGTACCTGCCTCTTAAGCTATCAATACACGCGACGTCACACACCATGACGTCACCGGCTTACTCGTTTCTCGCATGCTGATTGGCGTATATGTGTGTGACGTCAGGCCAAACATCGCCGTCATCTCACGTCCCTGAGTGGCCGACACCGAGCATTTAACTTTGTGACGTTCTCATTGGTAGAATGAAGGTCTCGTTTTCCAGCTGCGAAAATGACTGGCGGACTCGACCCGCGTCATCCCCCCTCCCCCCCCTTTACGTCACACAGCTGACGTCACGTCCAGCTGATCGCTGCCGAGGATGTGAGTCCGTAATGGCGCCTCAACCGCCTAAAATGACCCAAAAACAACCCCTCAGAAGAAGATTATTCCCCATTTTATAAGTTATCACGCACCACTACTCATCTAACTACCTCATGCCCTGGCCTCAAGTAATGTCCTTACGAAATAAAGTGGAAATAAAGGCAAACACATGTAGGGTTAGGCCAGGGAGCACAGGTAGTCGGCTAGGAGCATCACAGGGAGTCGGCGCGGGCTTCCCCTTCATGATCGCAATTTGGTATCAGTTTGCTGCGCTTTGTTCACGGGGGAGGACGTGGGCGGTGTCGCGGCGCGGTTTTCTTCCATTATATCTCCATTTTTTATAGTGACAACTTTCGTATTTAATTCTTAGTGACACAAAGGGTAACTTGATACACTTGCTTCGTTTTGGCGCGGGTAAATTGAGGTGTTTAGCGGGAGAGAAGTGAAATAAATGTGAGGGCTGAGAGAGAGAGAGAGAGAGAAGGCTCTTGTGATGCAAGCTTTGGCCTTATTGTGTGTTATACGCCAAGCTGTAAGCTGGACTTGTGTGGACTTACCGTGTGCCAACATGTGGACGTGGAGCGTCTTATCTGGTGGAAATGTTCAGTGTGATAAGTGACAAATGTGGTTTTCTTGGTCGAAAAGTTGGTAATGGGGGGCCAAGCCGGCCGCCCACGTTATAGTGGGGGTCCCCAGGCTGCTGCCCCCATGGTGTAGTGGGGTCCCCAGGCTGCCCCCATGGTGTAGCGGGGTCCCCAGGCTGCTGCCCCCATGGTGTAGCGGGGTCCCCAGGCTGCTGCCCCCATGGTGTAGCGGGGTCCCCAGGCTGCTGCCCCCATGGTGTAGTGGGGTCCCCAGGCTGCCCCCATGGTGTAGCGGGGTCCCCAGGCTGCCCCCATGGTGTAGCGGGGTCCCCAGGCTGCCCCCATGGTGTAGCGGGGTCCCCAGGCTGCTGCCCCATGGTGTAGCGGGGTCCCCAGGCTGCCCCCATGGTGTAGCGGGGTCCCCAGGCTGCCCCCATGGTGTAGCGGGGTCCCCAGGCTGCCCCCATGGTGTAGTAGGGTCCCCAGGCTGCTGCCCCCATGGTGTAGTGGGGTAGCGGGGTCCCAGGCTGCCCCCATGGTGTAGCGGGGTCCCGGTGTAGCGGGGTCCCAGGCTGCCCCCATGGTGTAGCGGGGTCCCAGGCTGCCCCCATGGTGTAGCGGGGTCCCAGGCTGCCCCCATGGTGTAGCGGGGTCCCCAGGCTGCCCCCATGGTGTAGCGGGGTCCCAGGCTGCCCCCATGGTGTAGCGGGGTCCCCAGGCTGCCCCCATGGTGTAGCGGGGTCCCCAGGCTGCCCCCATGGTGTAGCGGGGTCCCCAGGCTGCCCCCATGGTGTAGCGGGGTCCCCAGGCTGCCCCCATGGTGTAGCGGGGTCCCCAGGCTGCCCCCATGGTGTAGCGGGGTCCCCAGGCTGCCCCCATGGTGTAGCGGGGTCCCCAGGCTGCCCCCATGGTGTAGCGGGGTCCCCAGGCTGCTGCCCCCATGGTGTAGCGGGGTCCCCAGGCTGCCCCCATGGTGTAGCGGGGTCCCCAGGCTGCCCCCATGGTGTAGCGGGGTCCCAGGCTGCCCCCATGGTGTAGCGGGGTCCCAGGCTGCCCCCATGGTGTAGCGGGGTCCCAGGCTGCCCCATGGTGTAGCGGGGTCCCAGGCTGCCCCCATGGTGTAGCGGGGTCCCAGGCTGCCCCCATGGTGTAGCGGGGTCTCAGGCTGCCCCCATGGTGTAGCGGGGTCCCAGGCTGCCCCCATGGTGTAGCGGGGTCCCAGGCTGCCCCCATGGTGTAGCGGGGTCCCAGGCTGCCCCCATGGTGTAGCGGGGTCCCAGACTGCCCCCATGGTGTAGCGGGGTCCCAGGCTGCCCCCATGGTGTAGCGGGGTCCCAGGCTGCCCCATGGTGTAGCGGGGTCCCAGGCTGCCCCCATGGTGTAGCGGGGTCCCAGGCTGCCCTTACTCCTACTGCTGAATAGCTTTTTAAATTTTCTTTGGCTTTGAAAATGGTTTGTAAGTACATTGAAAGTGTTGAAAGATGAATGTTTTATTCAGAACTGAAACCATTACAGATTTTGAACGGTGAACAAGCTATTGTTCATAAAGTTGAAAACAACTTAATTTTGGCCTAAGCTTGCAGCCAGGGGTTACACTGACTTTGTTGTCTTGGAAGATATTCCTAAATAGTGTTTTATTCCTGTTACCAAGTGACTCTGTGTGCTGAAGTATTTTATGGTAGTGTTCAGTGCCATATTAAAACTATTTACTGTACTGTATAGTGAAGAGATAAGCTGTCATATGTGGATGAGTTGTCACAGTGCAGGAAGGAAAGTGTTGAAACATATGGTGGTATTCCTGAATCTTTGTGAAAGTTACCATGGAGAATTTTGTTTAATGGTATCTTGTACAGTACAGAAACTGTGTGGATTTAGCGAGTTGAAAGAATAACCTTGCGATTGTGAAAATACAAGTGCTTGAGAAGTCGTGATCCTGTGCTGACATTTATTAAATTACAGTATACTATGCAATGTAAAATAATACACTCTGAGAGGTGACAATCTAGTGCTTGATTACAGTTATTTTCTTTTCTTTTCAGGTTCAGCCCAAAACAAAACAAAAAAATGTTTTCCTTCCACAAACCTAAGGTGTATAGATCTACAACTGGCTGCTGCATTTGTAAAGCCAAGTCCAGCAGGTTAGTAATCACTGATTAGTTTACGTTTGTCATACGGCACCGGGTATTACAGTGGTTAGTACCATATCTGACTTGCTCTATAAGTTAGAAAAATGGGTTTGAATTCTGAGCAGAGGGTGTGATGGTTGGTTATTATTCCTTTATTGTTTGCTCCTGGGCACCCTTTAGTACTTTGGGACCTGGTTATTAAGTTTGATTATTCTGGTTTAAAACTACTGTACTAGGAAAAAACATAGGACTAATATGTGATGTGGTCGCTTATAATGAACAAAAAACCTGCTCCTAAACTGATTAGACCAGTGGCTACCAACCTGTTTGGAATAGTAATATTTTCTAATACAAACTATACTGTACTACAAAAAAAAACTTGGGGGGGGTCACAACCCACTGGTTGGAAACCACTGGACTATTGTGATTCTAATTGCATGTCCAGCTTTCCATTGTTGTCCTCTTGTTCTATCCCTTTTATTTAAATAGGCTTCCTTTGTTCAATTTGTCTATTCCCCTCAGGATCTTGTGCAGTATGTACCTCCCCTCTTGTAAGGGCGAGTTTTCTCAAACTCTTCATAAATGAGATCTCTGAATTCTGGTACTGTACTTATTATCTAGTTGCAAATCTGAACTTACTGAAGTTTGCCTATGCTTCACATTGTGGGTGTTCCATGCTGGTGCTGCATGCTCAAGTAATGATCTCACATTGGCATGTTTGAGTGCTAAACTAAAAAAAAAGGTGCCTTTAAAATATTTCTAAACTTTCTCCATGTTATCTTTTCCACTTCATATGCTCATACTTATCTTAATTTTGCTCTTTTTTTTCTGTAACTAAATATAATTTTGCCATCAGTCTGGTTTTGAAAGGTTGGAGCATCTTCATCATTCTGGTTTTGAGTTACAAATTAACTCGTATTTATAATATGGTCATAGATGAGGAGAGGTTAGAGGTATTAAATGTCAAAGCTTGAAGATAGAAGAAAGAGGCGAGTGACTCACTGCTGTACTTACAAAGTAGTAACAGGCATCGACAAAATTGATAAAAGATAAATTCTTGGGACCTAGAACTCCAAGAACAAGAGGTCATAGATTTAAGATAGCTAAACAATGATGCTGACAAAAAAATAGAAAATTCACATTTAGTGGTAGCTGGTCGGAACAAATGAGGTGGCGAAGGCAAAAACTGTTAGTAGTTTGAAAGCATTATGAGAGTGCCGGGAAGACTGGACCTCACGAGCATAGCTCTCATCCCGGAAGTACACTTGGGCAACAACAAAAGTGACTTGAGTAGAGTGTAATCTGGACATAAAATTAAAAGGGAATTTAGCAGTCCCACACAGACTGGCAATTAGTGCACACAGCAGATAAAACAGACAGACTGCTAACTAGCATGGATGAAAAATGTACTAAAAGAGAGGAAGATGAGGGGAAATGATGAAAACTATGAATGAAACTAGGGGGAATGTCGCTAAAGCAGTCTTAAAAGTTTCTGTACTTGTGCCAGAGACTGTTATGACCCTCAAAAAGATCTATGTAAATGAGTTTTGGTGGATATGAATTGGAGCTGCCTCATTTTGGCCTTTTGTACTTTATTTCTATGGACTTCTGTTTTTAAATTGGCAATAAGTTATAGGGGAAAATGGGATATTAATTTAATTAAGCATAGCTGACCTCTTGCATTCTCATTGAACTAAAAGGTATACCAGTGATGTATTAGGTTGACAGAAAAATGTATTACATGCACTGAAAAGGGAAATGGTCTATAAAATGCCTAGAGAATGGCTGCTCTACATGCAGTATCCACATCAATATTAAACATAAAAAAAGAGTGGTGTCTAGTTTCATTGCATATTCAAGGGTTCAGTCACCCTGGTGCAAGTCTGTGAAATATAAAATATTGCACATTTGTAAAGGAATTTTACAACCTTAAGATGTATATTATGGTCTATATTATATCTCATTTCATTTCCCTGCTATGTAGTAGGCAACTCTTCTAAAAGAGCATACCTGGTTCCCATTTGGCCCAATGGGTGGTATCGGAGAGATGAGCCGGGTACAGCATCTCGGTGTACGGTGCCTCATTCCTTGATAGTTACGTAGTTATGAACTGATAATAAAATATGTATCAGTACTTACTATTTTTTTATGTTCATATGCAGTAATTTGATGTGACACTTTCATGCAGCAAGAGGATTTAAGCCAGACATGCATGTTTGGTGGCTTCTTGTTCCCCCCACTGACTATTAAAGTCACTATTATTATGAAAAACAGGATGTCATGCTTGGCATTCATTTGAGGCATTTTCATCTAATTTGGAGATGCTTGTTTTAGTTGTCTATAGACTGAAAATGGGGCCGTTTTGGGTATCAGTCTCTGAACCATTTATTACCCATAATACAACTTTATATGTTTCTGCCTCAGTGTTATCCTACAGTTTAAGGGCTGTACGTCTATCTGAAAACTTGAGAACAAATTAAATCAGATATAACCTCTTAAATTTGTGTATAAATATTTCATTGTAAGAACTTGGCTCTGGATTATGGAAAAACCAACTTTATAATCTATTTAAACTTGTCTCTAGTACAGTATGTAGATACCGTTCATGTTTCAATAAGCTTCTCTTATTATATTAAAAGAATTTTTAGATATTTTGTCTCCTATGCACTGGTACAAGTGCTGCTGTTTTTTTTTTTTTTGTGTGGGTCTCTGTATTAGTATTTTAGAATACTGTACAGTGTTGAAATTTAGCTATACTGTTATTGCAGTACATGGTATATGGAAAAAATTATTTACTTTCCAGAAGCCTCCAAAAGTCCAAACTTTTTCTACTTTCACATCTATTGTTTGTCTGGATATTACTACCTTATTTGATGGCTAACTACAATGATACCAGTGATTCTATTCAGCTGCATTACCAATATCTCATCCCATATTTACTTAAATCGACCTTGTTTAACACACAACAATCTTGTTACTGTATAATGGAAACACAAATTGAACAATCTAGTTAGTTTCTGTGCTGCTTTCTGGCAGACCATACAATACATATGCTAAGACCAGCATGCATTGATCCTCTGCAAGTAATGGACACTGGCCTGTAGTTCAGTGCCTCCTGTCTATCACCCTTCTTGAATATCGGGACTACATAAGCCGTCTTCCAAATTTTTGACAGTTCACCTGTTACCAGTGATTTGTTATACACCATGTAAGGCAGTGCATATATTTTTTTGACAATAGTGTTTAGCAATCTACCATGACAATGTGACTGTATCTGAGTGTGTCAGATTGTCTAAGGTGTGTGATGACTGTTTATGAACTACGATTGATTGTTGACATTGACTTTCTAGGGACTGATGATCTTTCCTGATTATGGTAACTAGTGTCTTGTAATGTGTGCTTGTCCAATATCCAATTGTGTCTGGTGATTGGTATGTGTCGAATGTTCCTATAGAGGGCCAAACATCTGAGAACTGGGTACTGCTTTTTGATCTGTTTCCTTGTACATATAATAATGCATACAATGAATCACACTAACATGGCTGAAAATTAGACAAGTACTGTATAGTGTTGAAATAAAAGTGGCGTAATATGTACCTTGATATACATGTTTTGGTTAACATCTAAATACGTGGGTACAGTACTGCACAAGTACTGGACTGTGGTGTCATTTTATAGGGCAATGTTCCCTCTGATACATACCATGTGTTTCCATTTTGATAATTTCTAGTTTTAAATCCAATTTTGAATCAAATGATTCTCTCCCATGTACAATGATGAGGCAATTCACATGTATAACTTTTAGGTATGATACAAAAAATTAAATGTTAAATTTATTTACCTTTTTAAACAAAATACAAGCATCAAGGTGTTTAATTTCTTTGTGTGCTGATTCTGTTTTTATAACTTGGTATTTTTATACAGGATATATTGTACTGTACTATTAGTTTCATATTTAGTTAATTAATTTACATTAAAAAAATTTTGCAGCTCAAGATTCACAGATTCCAAGAAGTATGAAGATGACTTTGTTGACTGTTTCAACTTGAAAGAGAGAAGGTCGGGCGAAATTTGCAATGCATGTGTACTTCTGGTAAAGCGTTGGAAGAAGCTGCCAAAGGGAACAGATCGCAACTGGCATCATGTAAGCTGCAATTTTTTACATTGTTCTGTATATTATTATATTTTGTTAACGTATTGATAAATTGGTATTTGCAGATATCGGATACCTGAAAGTTTAATGTTTGTATATATTTTGATCTTTACTTGTAGTAGAAATTTTTTAATTGTCAATATCTCTCTCTTGTAGGTGGTGGATGCAAGAGCTGGCCCAGGTACCAAGTCCCTCACTAAATTTAAGAGTAAGAAGCTAAAAAAGAATCTTGTAAATCCAGATAAACCATTAAAAGATAAAATAAAAAAGAAGCATCGGTAAGTACTCATAATGCTGTTAAAGTTATTTTAGTGTGGGTATTTATTGAACAATAGTATAGGTGCCCATGTAACCCCATCCGTGGCTCTTCAGTTGTACTGTAGTTTCATATTCCCAACTAGTGTTTTCCGTCCATGAATTTCCCTTCCCATACTTCTCTCTTCCTTCTTTCACTTGTTTACACATACAAATGCACAAGTAAATTCTAGGCAGACACTCCAAATGATATTTTGGAATGTGACAAAAAACAAATTAGTTATATAAATGTCAATTCAAGAAGGAAGTCAGAAGTATTAAAAAAAAATCCTTTATCAAGGAGATAATACAGAGAAGTAAAGGAATGCATGGAAGAAATGTAAAGAACAAACCAATTGGTAGAGCTAAAAATTTGTTCTCAGGAGTAGGATAGTATCTGGATGGTCATTGGTTACTGTACATAGAAAGAGGTCACAAAACTGTCAGGCACTCTTGAATATACTACAGTTGGTTGAGAACAGACTACCTCATAACATACATATATTATTACCATATTCCAACTTTCATATCAGTCTTTAGAATAAAAGTTATTAAATGTAGTGAATGTTAGATATTAAAAAACAAAAAATTAAATACCACTGATCCATTCATTACAGTACAGTACTGTATATCATTTACACTATATATCAGGTAAATAAGCACCACTATAGTCCAACATTCATACCCACTCTTTCATAAGAAAGTGTACAGTGTTCCTCAATAATTGTCATAAACAAATGCATTTTCTCCTTACAGACTACTTCACAGCTTTGTCCTATTACATGCATGAGCTATGCGTTTCCTTACACAATCACTCGGCGTGTCTCCCTATCATCTTCCTGGCATTCCTCCTACACTCAAGTTCATTTTACCAATTACCAATTAAACTCTTTACCAATTTACAATAATTGATTATGCCCAAACCATCTCTCTACACTTCAATCTTTCGGTTTATTAAATTGAACTTATTGCTATGACATTTTCACTCTTAATTCTTCTAATACTATTGATATCTTTATATTATCAATTTCTACTGCTCTAGCTCTGATTTGTAATCTTTATTCCATACCATCATCTGCATTTGTACAAGTCTTCAATGCTTCTCCATGGAGGTCTTTAGCCGCATCTATTCCAATCTCTTTTCTAACCAGAATTTTCATCACACCAACTACTTCCCTTCTCTGATTGTACACTCGACTTCATTTGCACAAAATTGATCACACATTAGAATGATTTAAACTCCATTTTAAGCACTTTTCCATTTACATTTATTTCACATAATATCATTTGTACATTAAAATAATATTAAATACATGTATGTACAGTATGTATGATGACCGAAGTATGATGTATGGTTTCTGTTAAAAAAAGAAAATTGTGGAAAATGATCGAGTTGGTGACATTGCCAGATGAAATTTGATATGGAATTGAATATGATCTGTCTCAATTAGTCTGGTTGAGGGAGAATAGTCAGTACTGTACTCTACTTATTACAAAACCAATGATAATTGACTTGTACCATATTAAATTATTTAGTTGAAAATTTTAAACATTGCACATATTTTAATTTTGTATTTAGTCCTAATAAATATTGGTACTATATGGTTCACTGTATGGAATGCATCTCTGTATTGAACTGAGTGTACTGTAGTGTTGACATCTTTTGGCTAATGGTCTAAAGTTATTATTGGTTATAATGCTCTGTAAACGGTTAAATTGCCCAAGACGAAGCTAAACACTTTCTCCCAAGTACAAATACAAGAGTTTATATGATTTATTTTAACCAGAATTTGAGCAGCAGTTAACCTACCAGAATATACATGTTATATTCTTAATTTGATATAAAATTAAACTTTGGCCTATGTTTAATTCTTAAGATTTTTTATTATATTTTCCCACTTGTATAGTACTGTATGTAATAAAGCATGCTATGTACGTGTTAGTAAATTTGTAATTTCTGCATTAATCAGGTACATTCGAAAAGTGGGCAGAGAGACTTCTCCAGGAGCACTGAGTGATGATGTTGCTGTTGGCGACGAAAGATTAAGCGAGGGCTCGGGCCCCTCTGTTCCTGGTTCGTTGGCACCTTCACCTTACCCATCCCCTTACCCTTCCGAAGATGACGCAGATTCCCAAGATCGCACTTTAATCTCAGGTGCTAGTAAAAGGAAGACCACCATTCCAGCCCAGTATCAACTAAGCAGTTTTGTGGATCTGTCATACTGGAAACAGTGAGTATTATTTATAATGATTTTGCAGAGTATTTTCATGAACATGTTTTCATCCAGTATGCTGTTTCCTACTGGATTAGAGGGATGGCATTTCTATCCTTATATAATTACTACCACCCAAATCCCTGGCCATTTGGGCTGGAGAGTAGTGACAGTCTTGCTTCATGTAGGTCAGCTTTCAATTCCTGACCGTCCAAGTGATTGGGCACCATTCCTGACCCCCGTCCCATTCCAAATCCTTTATCCTGATCCTTCCAAGTGCTACACAGCGGTAATGAATTTGCTCTTTCTCCTGAAAGTTCCCTTCCCTACCACCCATATCACCCATTCTTTCCACTTTCTTTAACCATGTGTGTGTGCTTCATTATTTGTTTTTAAATTGCCTACAATCATTAAGTATTTTTGTCTGAATTTACCTGAGGGTCACTAACACACTACAGTAGTGGCCACAACGAGAACTGGAAGCAGTCTGCTTCTTAAAGGAACTCATTATTTGTCCTAATAATTTTATTGAGCTGGATTTTGAAAATCAGCAGTGGTTTGGCATTGATGACTTTGGCGGATAGGTGATTGCATGGGTTTATAACCCTTCTGGTGAAATAGTATCTCCTGTTTTCTATTCTACGTTGTGGCTTGTTGAGATTGAAACCCTCGCTCCATGTTTGTTACATCTCACCTGTTAAAGAAGTTGTCTGGGTTAATATCCTCCAAATTGTTCAGTGCAGTACATACTGTATTTTTGAGTTTCAATGAGATGACCCCAGTTATGTCTGGTTTGCAGTGTTGTTATCCCTGGGCTCTCAATGGTTCCTGGTACGAGATTCGACTTTGTTCTGGAATGATTTTGATCACCCATCTGCGGAGACCTCTCTGAAGACGAGGTCTCCATGCCTGGATACAATAATCCAGAGAGATGTTGAGCTGAATAGCTATCTTCTTTAACATGAAGTCAAAGGATTGTTTGACTATTCCTATATCTTTTTTTTTTTTTTATACTGCGGTTTCCAGTGTTGTACAACTTTCAGTGATTGGTGAATTCTGACTCCAAGGTCCTTTTCTTCATCAGTCCACTGCAAATGTAATATTGTTGATTTGGTAGGTGTGACATTCACTGTTATGCTACCTCATGTGATTTAGCTGTAGTGGCCCAGAGAAGTGCTTTTTCTCAGTTGAAATGAGGCGAGGTGCTGCACGGAAATAACTGTTATGTATTTTCATTGTTTCTCTGTTTGTTTATTTAGCTTTCATTCGAACAAGTTGTATTGATGTGTCAAAGGTTGTGGTCATGATGTATAACTTAAAATGTATTTATTCATACTAATATGTAAGCCAGAATCTTACAAGTTTAGTGGTTCTGAGTTTTGCCACCCTGTACATTCAGACACTGGATGGTGATGTGCCAGACATGGTCCTCATCTTTCACGATGGCTCTAGTGAGGGACTCCCCCCTCTCCTTTTTCTACTACTGCACTTAGAGACCTATTTCTCTATAATGCTTGCACCATGTTCTCCGTTATTTTCATATGATATTTTAATTGCTGCTCCTTATTTTCTGATACAATATCACCATCGGACTTACTGCAAATTTCCAAACCTACTCTTTATTTTCTGCGATGTTTAGTAATGTCTATGTGAACCTTAACACTTTTGCGCTCTCGGCGTTCAAAAAAAAATCATACCCTATGCACTTTCGGCGGTTCGCGCGCCTACGCGGTAAGACCGAAAAAGTGTACACTCTTTTGACTGTCCTGACAATAATTGAAGGTGCACGTATTTAAATTTGGTATCACTGTGTTCGCAATAAAATTGTCTACAAGAACATACCTATAAAATGCCGCCAAAGCATAAGGACTATCAACACCAAATAAAAAACTATTCAGATCACTCGCCGAGAGCGCCAAACAGCAACAAAATGTTTCCACTCTCTTAATGGTTGCGAAGCCTACAGTTGTCCTACATCGCTAATTGTGGTATCATTGGAATCGCAATAAAATTCTCTACGCGGACATATGCATATAAATATAGATTCAATGTCGTAGCCCACCCAAAACAGTGTGGGAAGTGGCCGAAGTGTTACCCGCGGCGGCATATCGGCGAAACTCGCTTTGAAAAGTGTATATTCAATTCACTGTCCTGACATTATTTGTCGATGTATGTATTTCATTTTTGTACCAATGTGCTCGCAATAGAATGTTCTATAAGAACATAAGTATTAAAGGTCACATAAGGATGTGTTCGACCGGCAACATATATAAAAACTATGTCGATTATACTCGTCGTGTCAATAATACAATTGTTTTACCACGATGATTCACTGCCACGCCGTTCTCTTTAATAAGCTGTTCGGCTATTAGAGAAAACGTAAATTTCATGGCGAACATTTGTAAACTATTCCCAAGTTGATCGGATAATAAATGGATTTTATACAAATATTTTTTCTCGTGACTCCCGAGAGGGGCACACGTGCGGTGTGATTAATAATATTGGTGACAACGACGGTCTTCTGGGATGCGCGAAAGTGTTAACAATTTTCCCACATTTCAGTTATCTTGCATTTTGCTGAAGTGCACTTTTCTCTATAAGAACTTCCAATTAACAATGAGTAAAACAATACTCGTAACAGTAAAATCTACACGTTGGCATAATCTTTCACTTATTTAATTAATTTTTTTCAGGGAAAAAGTATGCTGTGGCTTAATCTTCCGAGGAGACTGTGGCGAGGTGCTGATAGACCCCAGATTTTTCCACCCGTGTTCTTGCCGAATAAAAAATCTTGAAATGTCTCCAACACCAACTCCTATCTCAACTCCACTTGCTTCATCTGGAGCATCTGATGGAGGCAGTACCTATGAAGACGAGATTTTTGACATGTCCGAGGTAAATTTGCATGAAGATGAAGATTATCAAGATTCTGATTCCTTAGATGAGCGACTAGATGAACCTTACTACTCGTCTCCTACCAATTCTCCTTCAGGCCCGCTCATGACGCATTTATCAACAGGACTTGCAAGTTAACTATAGTGTTAATTAGTGGGCAAAAATTAATGACTAACTACCTATTTAATTATTGGTAGACATGTACCTTTTTTATTATTTAGATATGACAAATTTCCATGATCAATATTAGTGTTCTGAATTTTATTTATTATTCATGGGTCCAAGACTTGTATTTTTCAGGGTTGATAGATAAATTTTGAAAAACGATACAAAAAAAAAAGTTTTTATAAATATATATAAATATATATATTTGGCACAGAGCAAGGCTGCAGCCCCTCTCAACCTTTTATAGTCTTGTTATGACAATCTTTTTCATGGCAATACTCGTCTTGCTGCACCAAATACGCCGTCCACTTCTGCAAGCAGTTAACCAAGTGTACACAATAAAAACTGAATCGGTAAATATTTGAATACAAAACAATATTTTATATCTGCTATTTTTTACCTTTTAGAATCTTTGTATCAGATTAGAAAAGTTTTGGTCCTTAGCTGCATTCAGATTTTATTGTGTGAAGGTTCAATGCAATGCATTCAATGTAATTTGAATCCCAGCTCAGTCTTTGGAATATAAAACCATTAAACGCCCATGCAAGCTTTAAATAATTAAACTAAATGGTGTATGGGTTGTTTGAGGTAACGTTCCCGGTGCTGTGTATGGTGCTGCTGCTGCTGCTGCTGCTGATGACGGTCCGGTGCGGTGGGACGGTTCTAGGATCTCCATATCAGGGAGTGGGCTCGGCTGCCTCTTGTCCTCAGGTCACAAGGCTCATGTGCTCAGTCCACCAGTCACTGGCTCCTCTCGCTAATCTCATTACATTTCTTCCCTTTTGTACTAGAGGGTCTGTTTCATCATTCTTTCCCACTAAATACTGTCATAAAAACTATTCTCTAATAAGTGAATGGCAAATGAGCAGCAAAGTGCATTGTTAGGAAATGGTTAGTAGAAAAATGGTACAAATTCAGAATCTTCAGTTTGTACTTGCAGAAATGCTGTTCATGTTAAGAAATAATGAATGTCTTGCACAAGTAAGTATTTTGCAATATTTAGACCTGTGCAAGGAATATTAATATTAGAGACCAGAGACAATAAGAGGCGGTCTTCCTGCCTCCCATGCCTAGGGCTGTACGCTACATTGCACTCGTTCCTGTATATCCCCCCCCCCCCTAGTCCTCTTGGTTTTTGAGGTTGGGGCAGTACAAAATCTTTGTCTTGTGAGCCTACTCTCATCTCTTTTGTTACTCAACTGTGACTACATTTCTAAAGAATTTCTACTAAGTAGGGGTTCTCTTTTTATATATAAAACATAAAGCAAGTATTTTTAGCTAATTAAATATTTTTTAACTGATTTTCATAAATGCATAATGTGTTGTGCTCAACATTTTTTTTATTTTTCCTCCCCCTAATATGGAGCCAGATGACGGTGTAACCGACTTGCCTGCCATATTGCAAATTTAGATGAATTAATCCCAAACCTGAATCTAGTCTTCAAACATATTAATGTTAAGGACTTGATAAAACAAAAAAATTAACAGATGGCCCTCAGTATTACAAGGTACAAGTTAGCTTCTTTTATATTGCCACACTATGCGCTTGTTAGCACACATGAGCGGTGCTGTCCTGATGCTCGCTGCAATATGAATCTCTGGCATCGTGGATGGTACGTAGGAGAACAGGCAATGTTATTGATGCATGTGTATGGACAATTCCATGGATGACACAGGTATATTTAAAACAAAAAAGAAAGATATAAGAATGCTTGGTTCCGAGTTGGTCCAAGCTCTTGTGTCAACCAAGGAAAATGTCCAAGGAATCAATGCAGAAACCAAGGACCACTTGGTACAGGATTGGAATAAGCTTATGGCTCAAAAATGACAATTGTTGACCTAGTTATAAATATATTTTTGTCAGTGGCTAAAATTTTTAACGACTTTTGGGAGCTTAATTTATTCAAAAACGTGTAATTTTTAATGATGTTGTGTGGTTCATTAACACTAATGTAATTGGTGTATTGACCATAAATTTTTTAGTAATTCATTATTATTAAAAGATTATTTGTTTGTATTAAGTTATGTATTTATTGAGCTACAAGTTGGCCTTGTAAAGGATTCCAATATACTGTACTGAGTATGAAAACATTGTCAGCCCTAGGAGCTAAAGCTCTCCCAAAGACTGTGATTAATTTCAATATTGATGGATGTTTTAAGGTAAACTGAGATTAGAGGCATGTTTTCTATATAATGCAATCTGGAAAAATTTGTACATGCATTGCATTCCAAAGATTAAGTGTATAATATTATTAATATTTCTTAATAAATATTTACAATAGACATGAATCTGACACTTCATCTTTCCTTTGTGTCAGTGACCATTGCATTTCTGATTTCTGATTATAATTTATTGTCTAATTTAATTCAGGTATACTACTTAAGTGGGTAAATTGCAATGTGACAAGGTGTCACTCACAGCGTATGCCTGTGACAAAGTGTCAGTCACAGCATATGACAAGGTGTCAGTTACATAGCATATGCTTGTGACAAAGGGTAGGCATATGCCTTCACCCACAGATTATAACCTGGTGTGAATTTCATCACTTGTTATGGTGCCCTTGTTATTTTCTGCAGCTGTTAGCCATATATTACACAATTTGATGTAAAACATAAGATTCTGGCCCATATTACTTACCTCAGTCAGGTTTTGGTAGGAAAGGTGGACCAATATCCAGAGCTGCAATGTGGTTCGTCTGTGGGTGGGGCCAGTTCCAGGGGTGAAGCTGTAGCACACCTCTGGTGCCTGCTTCATTGTCATGACCATGCAATTAGCACAAATGAGACTGCAACTGTACAAAGTGCTATAATTCATGTCACAGTGCTCTTTGTTACCAATGCTCTTTCACAACATTTGTTTTAAAATGTGTGTGAGTAATGTATTTTCTTAAATTATAAACATACACAACAAATGTGCACATACACATATTTATACATACATAATATAATTTTCCAGCCTTATCAGTCTACTGCTAAGTGAGAGAAATTAGATAGTAAACAAAACAAACTGCAGCAAGTCAAGGGCAAGGCTGTTGGTGCAGTCCCTGGTCCAAACCAAACTGAGCTTAATCATCCACTATACAATGCAATCTACCTACAGTATATTTAAAAATACAGTATCTCTTTACATACACATGTACACACATTGCTCACAATGGTGCAAGTATTGTGAAGGACTGGAACATTCATATTTATATGTATATTACATTCATACAATGGTAATAATGAACGCTGCTTTTTGGGTTGTATTTTATGTATTTAAAAGGCCTGTACTTGAACTAGAGCACTTTCTAGGGAGTAACAGCTGCAGCAATTTTCCTACTGCATCTCATAAGTACCTGGGAGGAGTCGGAGCGATCACCACTTGATAATTTGTCAAATGTATTGCTGAATATTTGAGTGTATCCAAGGTAACCTGTTTGCTCATTCAACCAGGTGTCACTCTTTGAGCTTATGTGATATCCATAACTTTGAGCTGTGACTTGCTTTTATTGTCGCCCGGATCCTCGTGGGTGTGTATGGATGGTCATAGGACAGTCAGAGAACAGGTTCTCTTCTCTTGTAACAAGTTGTTTTGTATAATGACAAAGATCCACAATTAAGCTTATTTTTTGAGCTTGAAGTGTGTCCATTTCTCTGTTCACTTATTTAATGTTCTGTAGTTGTGAATGTAGTTATCCTTTTAAAAGTTCAGTACAATAAAGTATTGTATACTACTGTGTATTTTCTGTTTCACGTCCTTAATACCTTCAATATTAACATTAGCAGTTCAATGAAATGCTATTGCATCATCTCTGATTTGATGATTCTAACATTTGTCATATAATCTCTGAAGTTTACATTTTCAATCAGTACAGTATGGTATATGTAAACATTTTAATCCAAGATAACGAACACTATATTGTGGCGAGATTACAAATTACAACAATCTACTAATTTGGATCTCTGGGTAATTCAGCAAAAATCAAGTATAATCCTCTCCAGAAATTTGAATGTGCAAGAATAAACAAGGAAGTTCTCAATCCCTTTATGGGTGGTAAGACAGTGGATAGCACTGAAGGAAGACATTGAAGCCGATTCCATCCACAACATTTAAAGAGAAGTCTGATGAAAAATTTAATATTAAGAGGGGTAACTCGTAGGTGTTCATACCTGTTTAATTGAGAAGGTAGTGGAGGCCAAAACCGTCAATAATTTCAAAGCATTATATGACAGTGCTGAGAAGATGGGACAACACGAACATAGCTCTCATCCTGTAACTTAGGTAATTACCTCGCATGTCAGGTATGAACAGTTAAGAGGCATGGTCTAAAGAATGAGGTTCTTAACACCTAGTCACTGATAGGTAAGCACCTATATTGTCTGAGATGGCAGGATTTTGTATGAATAATAACAGATTGTTAAAACTGCATGTGCAGGCTGTATAATGTTTTTTCCTTCAAATAGGAACCTTTCTAACAAACGTGATCTAACAAGGTAACCCGCTGGGTGGACAGTGCTTCGGATTCGTAGTCCTGAGGTTCCGGGTTCGATCCCCAGTGGAGGCGGAGACAAATGGGCAAAATGTTACTTTCACCCTGATGACCCTATCACCTAGCAGTAAATAGGTACCTGGGAGTTGACCAGCTGCTACAGGCTGCTTCCTGAGGGGTGAGTAACAAAAAGTAGTGTGCGAGGACACTAAGCCCCAAAATCGTCTCGAGAAGATACCCCCTTTTTTTCTTTCTTTTTCTTACACCCATTATTACCCCCCTTCTTATACCCATCCTATCTGTACCTTTTACCTTGCTCACCTTCCTCTTTGAATTTCCTCCTCACCTCTCTCTTAACTTAATTAATGTAAGGCAAGAGACGAGGACTGCCTCCTTCACTTTCATCACAATCAACTTGATGACGGACCGAAACATTGTCGTCTCCTCATCTCATGGTGTGTGGTTAAGTCTTCATTGGAAAATTTTAAAAAGCCAAGAGCTCTAAAAATTAGATTGAAAAGTCTTCATGTCTATTACAAATTCTATTGTCTATTACAATTGGAAGAATACTGTACATGGTTTACTCAGATCTCAACCCGTCCTCAGACCAAATCCATTCCATCCAGAGGTCGACCCCAAAGACGCATTCACCAATTTTAACATGCTGTTCATTCAGAATAGGAATTTTCTCAAATATTAATTAATATTGTTAAATATTAGCATACTGTACATATCTAGGTATTGGTTAGTGTGACAATAATCAGAAAATAGAGCAGTGGCTATTCTGGCTGGTGTTGTACCATTTGCACCTTAAATAAAAAAAAAAGTAAAATAAAGTAAATAAGACTGCATAGGACCTCTACTGTGTGAAAGCTGCGGGTAAAAACCAAAGAATGAAAAACTTTAAACATTTAATATAACAAAATGACTTTAATAACAAAACAAAGCCCCTTATCCACTTGGCGAGAACACAATATTATAAAAAGGAATATAAACACAGGTGAGTTTTAATATTAAGCAAAAAGAGAGGTGCAAATTAATTTATACAAAAGCTACGCATCTACTGTCTCCTGGGAAGGCGACACTATGTGTTACTGCTGAGAACACGAAGTGTATTCTGAGGACTGGACACCGGTGAGCTCCTTTTGTATGGGCCAGCATAGATGGTGCTGATGTGGGTAACCATTGGTCGGCAATTAAACACGCAATTAGAGGTTGAGTGGCGCTGGGTCTCTGCCCAGACAGCAGGTGTCCAGGTCTCTTGGGTACTAGAGGGTGGAGGTGTCTGTCTAGACACTGAGCACATATTGTTGCTGTTGTTGATGTTGATTCCTTATGTTGGAGCATGCAGATACGTTGGTGAATAGGCAGTAAAGGGTACAGGCAAGATCTGCCTAAGCAGGAGATTACCATAACAGTTAGGTTAGGTGTTTAGGCTCTGTTGGCGATTATTTTTATTTGTAGTACATGAATGAAACATTTGCAACTTGTGATTCGAACAAAAGTCGTCAGCAAAGCACTTGTTCCAGAAGTGTTTGGATGTCTTCAATTGTGAGTCGTGTGTGAACAGATTTTCATTCATAAACGGGGTTTGGCGGGTGCATGGAATTGACTTTGGCCCTTATTTATGAGGACGGGCTGCAGATCTTTCTTGGTTTTCTGATGTGTTTTGCAGGGAAGTTTGTGTACTTCAAATAAAGGCCAAGTGAAGTTCCGGCTTTCCTATTGCTTGATAATGCCCGTGCTCACTCCAGTATCAACATCTTCAGCCTCAAATACTAAAAAGATATATATATGGCACAACTACATAATACCATGCCTCGTAAAGGTTGTACACAAATGCTATGCTCGATGAAGTTTTGGTAGATTTGAGTCTCGAAGAAGATACACCGACCTCACCTAACCTTCTTAGTATGTTAAGATAAGCATCTTATTGCTTCTTAATTACAATTATTACTTAACCTATACCGTTGATAGGTTAAGTAATAATTGCAAATAAGAAGCAATAAGATGCTTATCTTAACATACTAAGAAGGTTAGGTTAGGTCGGTGTTTTCTATTAAGCTTTTCAAGGTAAACTAAAGTATTCACAATCAATTAGTATGTCACATATGCACTTATTAAATAAACCAATATTGATTGTAAGCAAGTGCGAGAATGGGTTGCAAGAACAAGGTCTGGATACCGAGTTAGAAAAACAAATTTGAAGATTGAAACTCCTAACAGTTCTGGTTAATGTGATGGAAGAAGACTTAAAATTGAAGGATTTGCTGATGAGATCCATGGCATTTTCAATAAAGTTGGTGAGAATTTTGAAGGCCAGGATATTATTGACTGATTAGAAAAGGTACTAATGACCCAGGATGTAGTATACTGAGTTAAAATGAAAATCTCCAGTCCATTACCAGTGAGGTGGAAGAGGAAGAAGCAATATTATAGCCAAGTAAATTCAGTGACCTGACTTCGAGTTGAAAAATTATTAATTTATCCAACAGTGATAATCAAGAAATAGGATATCTGTATCTACTTCAAGTGGAGCAAAATGCTGATAAGATACCAATGAAAAAAGGAATAAAACAAACATTTCTTGTTATTTGAGAGGATCAGAAAATTATAGACTTTGAACCAACAAAGCTTAAGTTGCTGGCAGTTTAAGCTGACCTTGCCAAGAACATGGACAGCAATTTTAGGGTTAGGTTAGGTAAATGTACAGAACTGAAGCCCTTCAATCATCAGATCACTCCAACAAGATATGCTGAAATTTATCATTCTATTTTATTAATTTTGTTGATCCTCCCCAACAAAATGTAAATTTATGTTTATTGTATGAGGAAATACAAATTAAGTTAGTTATCTTGAGACGATTTCGGGGCTTAGCGTCCACGCGGCCCAGTCCTCGACCAGGCCTCCTTTTTGTTACACATCCCCAGGAAGCAGCCCGTAGCAGCTGTCTAACTCCCAGGTACCTATTTACTGCTAGGTAACAGGGGCATCAGGGTGAAAGAAACATTGTGCCCATTTGTTTCCGCCTCCACCGGGGATCAATCCCGGAACCTCAGGACTACGAATCCGAACCGCTGTCCACCCAGCTGTCAGGCGCCCTGACAGCTGGGTGGAAAGTAATTATGGTAAAATATATCCAAAATTTCTTGATGACATGTCATAAAAAATTAAGTTAATCTAAATCTTTACTTGATTCAGATCGGTTTTATCCCATATGATCCAAATTAGCTATACAGAAACCTCTTGTTTGTTATTCATTGTAATCTTCAAAGCACGAAGGGTACTGAATATAGACGCATTGTTGAACATTAAAAACGAGAAAGGATCACGGAAAATTATTTTTCTTAAACTTTCAATTACAATCAGCCATATCAGGAGGAAGATAACAGTGAAAGAACAACTGAGAATAGTGAAGGACGAGTACAGTACACGTACAGTACAGTATAAAGTACAAGTACAGTACAGTACAGAGTACAAGTACAGTACAGTACAGAGTACAAGTACAGTACAGTACAGAGTACAAGTACAGTACAGTACAGAGTACAAGTACAGTGCAGAGTACAAGTACAGTACAGTATAGAGTACAAGTACAGTACAGTACAGAGTACCAGTACAGTACAGAGTACCAGTACAGTACAGAGTACAAGTACAGTACAGTACGAGCACAGTACAGTCATAGTGAAGGTGAGTACAATTATAATGTTTTGCCCGAAATACTGTGCTATAATTAATGACCTTATACAATATACAATTATTATACCTACTAAATAACCACCGTAACATGTTTCTTTTTTTAAGTCTTATAAATCCAAGTCTTATTACAATTGTGAGTCTAATGAGCATGTGGCAGGCAGCGTTACCGTGACGTCATCACAACACCTGCGAGGCGCAGCTGTCTCCTGACTGGCTGGGGGCGTCCCAACACCTGACTTGTGACAGGTGTTTAGCAGACTTGTCACAGTGCTTGGAGGAGCTCCTTGTGGTACACCAGGACCCGTAGAGGTGAGGGAGCCAGGTCCAGGGGTCCAGGGTTCCAGGGGTCCGAGGGTCCAAGGGTCCAAGGGTCCGAGGGTCCAAGGGTAAAGGGGTCCAAGGGTCCAGTGGTCCAGGGGACCAGTGGTCCAAGGGTCCAAGGGTCCAGGGGTCCAAGGGTCCATGTCCAGGTCTTAACACAAGGCTCGTGGGCTAATTGTCATTCTCTATAATAATTACAATTATAATACCACTACTACTACTAATAATATTATTTATTTACAATAAGGTACAATAGATATGTTTGACTGCATTAAATTGGTATTTTTACATAGTTGCAAAGTCACTAACATGCTTAGTGTTGCGGGCAATTTACAGTGTGTGTTGTTTTGTTAGGCAGTAACTTACAAGGTGAGACTGTATTAGGCTAAGTAAAGTTGTTTTGCTGTTCCTTTAATTTGTATGTACTGAAAATATGGTCCAATGCTTTTCATCGTTGTTGCCAAATTATTGCCAAAATAGAACTACTCCCAAAACCCTCTCCAGATATGTTCCAGGTATGTTAGGGGCTTTAATTAACATGCAACTCTCAGTACCTTCAAATATACCTCTATATAATGTTCTTATTTATGCATATTTTATGAATAAAATATAGGTAAGGCTGTGTTAAGATTAAATAGGTTTTAAAATAAGTTGGTGAACTAATTTTACACAAGACATCTCGCTAGCGACGTTTAAAACCTGCTTTTTCCAACCCAGCTCGTCTCTGCTCGTCTCTGCTCGTCTCTGCTCATCTCTGCTCATCTCTGCTTGTCTCTGCTTGTCTCTGCTCAGCTCTGCTCGGCTTGACTCAAGGTCACTTCGTACCCATGATGGCTATGCAACCGGTTTTAAAAACCTGCCTTGCTATGCCTAACCTAACGATAAATTTAATTTTGACACAAACTAAGCTTTTGTTTTTACTCGATTCCTCTATTCTCTCATAAAGCTGTATATATTGTAGCATATTGTTAGCTCGGGTTGGGTAAGGTTAGTTAGTTAAATTTGAGGGTTTGAAGAGAGCATAATTAGAGATATTTGGTACTAAATCAATGGGTGACATTTTATTCAGTTACATTACAAATTGATGGTACCATTTACAGTGTCCAGGTGGCTGCTTTTATTTATTTATTTATTTATTTATTTATTTATTTATTTATTTATGCACATACAAGAATGTACATAAGGAATGTGAGGATACAAATATGGTAATTACAGTCTTGTAAAGCCACTAGGACGCGCAGCGTTTCGGGCAGGTCCTTAATCTAAGAAAATTTTAAGGAGGTAAATACTTGCAAAATTTATAGACAAAAAAATGATAACAGTTACATGACATGAAAAAAAGAAGATGAGAGAAAATTGTAGGTACAGTATATTAATTATTATTAACTTATATTAATTATATTAATTATATTAACTTATTACAGTTTTAAGGTTAAATGACTTGATTGAATATTACATGATCTAGAAATGCTTTTCTAGAAGCATGGATTGGATAGAGGTTGCATATAAATAACAGTATTTTGGGGAAATAATATAAGAAATGCTGTGTCTTCTTTACTTTGAATGATTGAATTGTCCTACTTGTCTGATTTGATGCTTTTTGAAGAGCTAAGAAGTATAGTTAATAATGATGGCAGCAATAAAAGGTGGTGATGCATAGGCATACCTTGAGGTTACCTTGAGGTGCTTCCGGGGCTTAGCGTCTCCGTGGCCCGGTCGTCGACCAGGCCTCCTGGTTGCCGGACTGATCAACCAGGCTGTTGGACGCGGCTGCTCGCAGCCTGACGTATGAGTCACAGCCTGGTTGATCAGGTATCCTTTGGAGGTGCTTATCCAGTTCTCTCTTGAACACTGTGAGGGGTCGGCTAGTTATGCCCCTTATGTGTAGTGGAAGCGTGTTGAACAGTCTCGGACCTCTGATGTTGATAGTTCTCTCTCAGAGTACCAGTTGCACCTCTGTTTTTCAACGGGGGTATTCTGCACATCCTGCCATGTCTTCTGGCATTGGTGAACCATGAACACACTTCATCTTGTCGGCTCTTATTGAGGCACTTTTCCTTGTTGAACAATTGAATTTGTGTATTGCAAACAGTGTTATGTGTGTTGACTTCAGAATTGGTCTATATAGTAAGACATGAGGCTAAAATGGGGATTTTACTGTATTGCCATATGTATGATCAGATGTTCTTAAGTCAGAAGGGAGGCTGTATATTAGAAATTGTAAGAGACAAAGGATTTAGCTTCGTGACCTCGTAGTTTTTCCTTTTCACTTGGATTTCTTTCACAATGGCCGTCTATATTTTACCTGCCTGGTGTTTGTTCTCTTACACAATTCAGACTATTTTATTTCTACTCTAGCGAGTTTATTTACATTTTTTATACTGTACAGTACTAGGCTTTTGTAAGGCATGGTATTAGAAGCTTTCTGATACTCTAGGAAGTGCAGCATATGTGTGTTATTATAAGCTGGAGAATAGGCTTAATTTAATTAAGTTATAAAGTTACTCGCTTTTATTGTAGCAATCTACTGTGTTGTTTTGACAGATGGCCCCTAGTTTGATGTTACCAAAATTGCCAATGACGCCATTTCGTGTGATGGCACTGGTAGCAGGTGTGGCTGCCATTTGCCTCGTCTTCTCTGCTTTGACCACGTCTGGACGACAGCAGAAATTAGGAAAAGTATTCGAACAGCTATCAAAGACATACAAGGTTGGATATTATTCATTACCCAGTTTCTTACTTCCATGCAGTGGGGAGGTATTAACCCTGAGAGAAAAGGGGTGATAATTTATTAGAATATTATAGATGGCATATAATTATACACTGGCAGTCTTGATCTTTCCCTTCCACAGCTTAATTGAAATCGTATTGTACTTTGTGTTTCAGGAACACAATTCATTAATCACTTTAGTACTTTTGATAGTAATCACTTAGTTTAACTTTAATTACGTAATTACTTTACATCCAGGTTCCCAGTAACTTATGGGTGCTCAGTGAAGCACAGTCCACCAAATGATTTACAACCATGTCCTACAATTACTGCTGGGTGAACAGGGGCAAGCAGTTAAGGAGATATGCCCCATTGACCCTCCCTCTCTGGGACTCAAACTCAGAGCTGCCATTGTGTCTTGGATTTTTTCTAATCATGTTGCTGGTCACTGAGGCTATGGGCATGCTGTTCTTGACAGATGCTGCACTCTTTACATTAATACCCAACACCAACCAACCCTCAACACAATGCCCACCAACCCTCAGCCAATGCCTGCCAGAGAGTAAGTTTCAGAGAATTTCTTCCTTCAAATTAAAATTAATTTGGGATGAGCTACAGTGATGGTGATGAAAATCAAAGTAATTTTGTGAGTGGGAGAGAGGGGGGGGGGGTGGAGCCAGCACCACAATGCACAACTGTGCATTATCATAAAAACAACTTCAAATTAAATTCAAACAGATCATGCTGCACTGACACTTGTGGCTTCAATATCTGCATTTGTTATCGACATAAGCATTGGAACTTTGGTATAACAGAAGCCTGGCACTCTTGTAGAGTTTTTTAAATGCAAGGGTTTACAGTAGTGATGTATTTTTGGACAAAATTGATATTTCATATTTTAAAATTTCACAATCAAAATTGACTATTCAGAATGCACTTTAATAGCTTTGCAGGAATGTACCACTTGATCAACAATTTGTAATCAAATAATCCATTGTATCATCATGTAAGAAAAATACAAATAAAAAGCATGTCATGGTGATGACAGGGTATAGACACGTACACCCTCTTATCAACAGTATTGGACTCTTGTGTGAGTAGGAAGCAGCTCAGTGAATCAGTAAGGTTTGTATAGTTCATTAAAAAGCTATATTTATGGTAGGAAATTAGGTTATACTTTGGAAATGTTAATTTGCATTGACAACTCAAGTACTTCACTATTATTATAGTGAAGTACTGTACCTGAGATGGGGTTCCAGGGACATGACTCAAGTTGTGTCATGCAAGTGAACACTAATACTGTATTAGTTTTAGAGTTTGATGAAGGTTTAAATATGCAAATTTTTCGGGCTGGTATTTAGGATTTAAGACATTTGTAACAAAAAAACTGTTTTGGAAGTTAAATATGAAGTACAGTACTTTGATAATTTATGTTTAGAGCAGAGCAGGGTTTTTCAACTGTGATTCTGTGGAACCCAAAGGTAACTATGGATTCTGCAAAAGATAGTGATAAGTAGGCTAATTCTAGTTATATGCAAATGTATTTTTGAGTCATTTTTGTTTTTAATTATTCTCATTTAACCAGTATCAATACTAAAGACAAATCATCTCCTGTCAGTTAACAATGAATTCGGTGTGTGTTTAGATAAAGTTCAACCTGATTGATTTCGAGGATACAAAGGTTGAGCAACACTGGTATAGAGGTTAACAGGTTGGGTGGAGGGAGGAAGGAGGGGGTCGGTCTATAATGGATACATAGAAAAAAGTAAAATGGAGTAAATGCTGTCTTGCCTATATGTAGATGCAGTAGTAGACCTGTGCTTATGGTGTCCTTGTGTGTTTATTATCAATGTTTGTGAACATTTTGAATAGTTTCCCCCACATTGCCTCTTGAAGTCCCATCCCAGCTATTTACCACTGGGTGTCTAAGGATGTACTGTACAGTACTACAGTACTTCACTTCTTTTTTATACATTGCCTTTTCACTGTGTTCATGGAATGGTGTAAGGAAGGGTGTACTGTGCTCTACTGACTTATTGGTGGGAGATGTTATAGATCATATTGCTTGCTGCTTTAGAAGTAAAAGTAAAAGCTGCTATTTGTATGTCAAAATCTAACGGGTACATCATCAGTAAATATTGAACCATATTGTTTTCATCAAATTATCATGTAAAAAAAATTACATATTTTTTTGTAATTTTTCATATCAATTACAGCGTGATATTAGTGGGAAGACGATGGCTGAACCTAGTTTCTGGCGCAACTTTGATTTCCAATCTGAGCAGATTCCATCCCAAGTTACTGATGCTGCTCCAAGGGTGAAGGTCACCAACAGTACAATAAATATAATGGTAATTTATATTTACAGTTAAGGCTATAGACCTATCCAAGGGAATATTACTAGTTTGCAAATATTTTGTCAAATGTAATATGCTTCAGTACTGTTTAATTAGTAAACTTTTGACACTGTCAACCACCAAAACCTTCTTCTTAAAATACATCATTATGGAGTCAGAGGTCACTCCCTCCAATATCTTCAGTCTTACCTTACTGACAGCCTCCAGTATGTTTCTGTGAATAATTCAATTTCTCCCACTCTACCCATCAACATTGGTGTTCCTCAGGGCAGTATACTTGGCCCTCTCCTCTTTCTTATCTACATTAATGACCTATTTGAAACTATTAATCACATCACACTAAACTTGTCCATCCTTTGCTCCTCCTCCCCTCTCCACTTGCCCAGCACTCTGTGGTGAGGTTTTACTATCTTTTAAGAGTACAGCACCTAAATTAGGTTTTCCTTTAACAATTGTCCAATAAAAAATGGATGACAAAGCTTCCTGCGAGGTGATATTAGGTGAACATTGATAGCGTCTTGCGTAACTTTAACACTTCAAAAAGATTTGATTAACAGCATCAGTGGCATATGCTGAAGTTTGATAAAATATTAACAAAACTTGTTTTAAATATATACCGAAGTAAATACCTAGTTATATTTTAATTGATACTTTTGTTTTATTTACAAATTTAGTGTTGTGTAAATTTGTCTAGTACATAGTTAACCTAGATATGAGTAAGAATTAGGTCGGCTATCATGCTAAAAGTTTTCCCGCTGTTATACCAATGCGATGGAAACGTAATATTGCATGCCACAAGTAACAATACGGTACACTGAATAATGATTGATATTAATTGATTGCCATGCGGTCCCCGTGGTGTAGTGGTAAAGCACTCGCCTGGCGCTTTCTGAGTGCTTTGTTCTGGGTTCGTATCCTGACCGGGAAAGATTGACTGGGCACCAATCCTTAACTGTAGCTTCTGTTCACCCAGCAGTGAATGGGTGTCCTGGTTGCATAAAGATTTGGTGGTTGTATTCCGGGGGAAAAAAAATAGGATTAAGGACCTGCCTGAAATGCTGTGCGTGCTAGTGGCTTTACAAGAATGTAAGAACTCTTGAATACAGTACTGTATATAAATAAAAAAGTAACAATTAAAATACTAAGACAGTTGCAGGTGAAGCATCGGTACAGTAACTAGTAAAATATACTTAGTAGTGAGTTTGCCTATTACTGTACTTATTTTCTCCATTTCCTTTTAGAAATAGGATGACTCGAGTATGGATAGGCCTATGGGACTTGTGTGTAATTTTAATTTGTAAGTTGGAGTGAATGTCTTCCTCTTTGTTACTAGAGTTCTTCATCGTTATGTTGTGCACTGCCATTTGTTCTGACAGCTATGATTCTTGTGCTGGCCATGAATTGCAATCACTTGGATATATTATTCTTAACCCCATTCTTTCATTTATAACTCAAAGTATCTGCCATTCTTTATTTTGGTCTTTCCTCTGACATTGTACCCATAAAATGTTTTAATGTTGGCATGTGTTGTATATTTCCAAACCATCTTATTCATTTTTATTTTTCAGGGACTGCCTCGCCCAATATTCAGTTTTTACATCTTTGTTCCTTACTGCTTTCTTTGTTAGATAACATTTATGCCGGTTTGTTTTGACTTGCCTGTGAATTTTTTATTGTATTTAATATTATGTCATTTCTAGGGATCGAATACCTTCTACCGTGAGGCTCTACCTCCAGAAGGTGTGAGCAGTAGTGGTGAGGTGGTTGTGCTCCTACATGGTGCTGCATTTCAGTCCAAAACCTGGCTTGACCTTAACACCATCAACCTCTTAGCAGCTATGGGGCATCATGTTATTGCTATTGACTTACCAGGTGAGGGCAACTCATTAGACTTTGTGCAAATTTACTGTATTAATCAGAGTTCAGTTTATATTGAACACCTGTCTTCTTAACATAAGGAGAAATAAACAAAATAGATGTGGATTTTTTTTTAAAAGGCTTGGTAAAATAACACCGTGCCAGATGGTTATGAAAGAACCTTTTATTGTACCATTGGCTAAAGTGTGAACTTTGCTTGCATAAGTGTTGGTCTTTAGTTTCTTGAGTGCTATGGGTAAAGTGTGGCAGTAATGATTGTATGGAGGAATCTTTGATAAATTGAGGGAGAGGTTTTCCGAATGAAGCCGAGCATGTATAAGAACTCGTGATGCAGAGTGTGATTGGTTTGCAATGAAGTAAGAGTACAGTATTTTTTCCCTGAACTGGTTAGACTTGGGGTAAATAGTTATTACTAAGTCTGTCTATAATTGTGTAAATAATCAACTTGCGAAGTTTTCAGTGGAATGTGATGAAACATGATTCTAGTGTATGGAAGGGGTGGCGTGTGTGTAACCAAACCGCTTTTACATTCATCTTGACAGCTGTGCCTCGTTTGTGTGTCCCGTGACTGTGGGAAGTCACCAGTTGGATTATTTGTTTAACGTTTGCTCATTACAAAGCTCCTGAGAAAGTGATTTACCTTGTTATGCTAATTAAACTTTTCCCTTCATTAAAAGTTTCCATTATTTTTGAAAATTATTTTTTTGTTTTACACCTTGGAATGAAATGATGCAGTGTATGTAGAATCTAATTTATTTTAATTTGTTTATTGCAATTATTTATTGTTTGTTTATTTTTGCTTACATTTATTTTGTTTGATTTACAAGGCTTTGGGGAGTCCAAAAGTGTAGATCCAAGTGATCCAGCTGATTATCTGCACACCTTTATGAGCACCAAAAAGGTCTCCAAGCCCATACTGGTCTCTCCCTCAATGAGTGGTAGGTTCTCCATCCCATTCATCATGAAATATCCTCAAGATGTCGGTGGATACGTGCCAGTTGCTCCTGTCGGTACCAACAAGATTGTTGACAGGGCCCCAGAGTTGAAGGTCAGTAAATATATTCATCTGCAAAAATCGGTGTGTATGAAATCGTCGTATATTTGATTTTTGTTTTTCTTACTAGTGCCATTCAAATTTTAATTTCATTAAGAGGAAATTTTGTTTTGTTTCTTTCCTATTCATATTTTGTTTTTTTCCTGAGATCTTCCCTTTCTCAGGGGTTACATTTTCATGTGAAATTGTACGCAGACATTTGAATTCTACCTAATACTTGGCTGCCTTATAAGCCATGACCAGGATCTGTGAGGAGTTTTGTATGGTGTGCTGATCCCTGTTTAGTTGAATCATGAATATAATCTTCAGTTTAAACTGTACTGAATTTATTTTCATACCTGCATTTAAAAAGTTGCATATGATACTGTATTTCTCTTAAATCCTACATAGTTGCAGTTTTAATCTATTTCAATCAATCCTTAAATGTTACTTAAATGACGCTCTTGAGTTTTGTTATTAAAAAGGTAAGTGTATTTTAAAACTGTTTTTATTTCTTCCAACTGCATGATTAAAGAATTAACTAATGAATGAAACTTAAAGTCCAAGAGTTAAAGAAAAAGAATCCACCTGTACTGTAATTAAATTTTGCCGTTAGTTGAAAAGGAAGTAGAGTTGCTACTATATACAGTACAGTTTCCCCCATGTCTTGGAAAAGGCTAGAGCTTCAGCCTTCAAGGTAAGTGTAATTATGATGGGTTACCAAGCAGCTGACAGGCATGATTTGCTGCTGCTTTGTGGCTTTTTACATTAGCTTCTGTCTATTTTGTTGTCCCTTGGGTGTTTTCTGGTTTTTATTCTGTTAATTTATTTGAGTTGCTTTTTGTTTATTATTGACTTGTTGAGGACTTGTTCAATTTCTATATCTTCAAATGGAAAACCTTTTACAGCTTTATCATATTGAGTCATATAGGTATTTTCTAGTGAAGTGGTTAGACTACAATGCAAGTCAAACAGATTGAGAATGATACATTGATTTGCTGATACTGATGATGCCTAGCTACTAGGGAAGATAAGAAACTTGGAAGACTGTCATGCCCTTCAAGAAGACCTGAACAAAATAAGTGGAGCAATACTTGGCAAATGGAATTTAATGTGAATAAGTGCCACATTATCCATACTAATGTGGATTAAGATAAAATAGGCCACACACAACCTTCAAATTATATGAAAAATCTTTAAAGAAGTATGATAGAGAGATCTAGACACGGTTCTGAATAAAAACTGTCACCCAAGGACCACATAAAGAACATTGTGCAAGGAGCATATACAGTACAGTACTATGCTTTTTAACTTTAAAATCGCTTTTAAATATCTGGATGGAAATATATTAAAGAAATTGTTTACAACTGTGAGACCAAAGTTGGAATATGCAGCAGTTGTATTGTGCTCACATGTCAAGAAGCACATTAATAAATGGAAAAAGCATGAAGACCTGCAACTAAATCAGTTCTGGAACTTAAAAACAAGTTACGAGGAAAAGTTAGAGGCCTTATTTTTTCCAGAGATAGAAGACAAGAAAAAGAGGCGATATGATCACTGTGCACAAAATGAGAATTGACAAAATTGTCAAAGAAGAAATTTTGAAAATTGCCCTTTCAAGAACATGAGGACATAGGTTCAAACTAAGGAAACAGCCAAAAGACAACAAATCATTAGAAAGTTCACTTTTGCAAACTGAGTGGTAGACGTTTGAAACAAGTTAAGTGAGAAGTTGATCAAAAGCCATCAGTATAGTTTCAAAGCATCATATGACTGAACACTGGGGAAATGGGAGTGTAGTGTAGACGAGTGTAGCTCTCGTCCTGTAATGACACGTAATTACAGTCGCACTCATTCTTTCATACACACATATGGTACTAATAAAATTTATACAAAATTGTATGTATTATCTTGGTAAATAATGTTGTGGGGATCCATGCTAGCAGATACTACTATAGCATTGTGTGTCATCACCTTGCCCCTGACAGAGCCCTGCCTGGGGAGAGTGTGGTAGAGCGAGTCACTCGATGGCTTAGCGACAAAACATCTCTTGATATGTCCATCCTTACAACCACCTTTCCACTACAGAAAGTTGTGCTGTGTGTGAAAAAAGTAATTGTAATAGAGGGAAGAAAATTGTGTGTAAAATAAGTGTGAATAGTGAAGTGTAGTAAGTGATCAATCAGTTTAACTGGGATATGTTATTACTAAAAGAGTAAATTGTGCAATGAAGGTTGAAAGCAAAAGTCAGTCTGGGAAGGAAAGTGACTGGTGCAGTGAAAGCCCCTATTAGAAAAAAATCAGATTAGAATAAATGTGGGCAAAGGGCTGCATGGGTTGGTAATCCCAACTCTTAAGTATTGGTGATAGATAATGGTGTGGTATGAACATGAAAAATCAAGTTGCAATAGCAATTGAAAATAGGAGAAGCATGTGTGGTGTTAGAAGAGACTAAAGCAGGAAAATGTAAGGAAGAGATGCGGAGTAAAAAAGCCACAAAATCACGAGATTGAGAACATATGGAGACAGTTGTGGCATGTTGAATGAATAGAGGACAATAGACCGAGGTGAATGAATTTGCCTGAAATTTGAGGTAGGAGAGGGTGGGCAGACATGGCAAGTGTGTGAAGAAGCAGAAAAAGTGTGGTATCAACACAACAGGATATGGCAAAGGACAATGTTGGGTGGAAGTTGTAGAGTATATGATAGCTGGGGTGCGGGAGTTATGTTTTACATGTGGATGATATAACGAATGTGTGTGTGTGTTTTTCTTTGGCGAGAGGGAGGTGGTTGCTGATGCTGTTCCACCCCATGGAAAAATAAGAAATGTAGAAATGTAGCAATTTATGTAAATGGGAAATGTGGTGGTAATGATTTTTAGCATTTGTATTGAGATGTTGTCATATACAGTATAGATATGTCCCTTGATTGTCTGTAATTGAAACATTAATATTATTTTCATATATTGAGGATTGCTTTCTTGTAATGTATTGTACTAATATAATGAAGTGGTTTTTCTATTAATTGCACTCACGGATTTTCACTTTATAGCTTTAGTTTTTTACTAACACAGTATTTATAAAATGTTTGTATTAAAAAAAACTAGATTTGATAATTGGCTTTGCAAATTTATATTACTGGTATTATTGGTTTTTAGGCCATCACATTTGTCTTAGTGGCTTAATTGTGCAGGGTTTGGGTATAGTGGGCGGCATGAACTGGGTCCTGAGCTGAGACGCACTTGGCTTCAGTCTTTCCTCATCGCCTTGGACCTTCCTCCGTGTGTTGTGGTTTCTCCTTCATTCTCTGGGGTTTACTCGCTCCCTCTGTTGGCACTTCAGTCACATGAATTAGACGGGTTTGTGCCAATAGCTGTGGATGCGACGGACGAAATACCTGTGCAGTTTTTGCAAAATTTACTGGTAAGTTGTAGGAATCAATAAGCAGTTGCAGTTTAAAATTTAAAGGTAAGACATAATTTTCAAGTATAGGTCTTCAAAAATTATATGCAAGAGATTTCAGAACTACAGTACTATGCATACAAAATTTAAAGCTTAACTGTTATTCAGTACAGTATATAACTGTTGTACTCGCCAAAGAGGAAATGCTATAATGATTTGAAGTCATGATTTTCTATATGGTAATGTGATTGATATAGACCACCATGTAGGGTCATAAGTTGTAGAATCCATGTTTGGTTTTCATGATATTTAGATACATTTCTCTTATAAAATCCATTATAAATGCAGTAATCAAAGTGGGGGGTGATGGGGATTGAGGAAACATGAAGTGAGGCGATAACTATTATGGCAAGATGAGTTAAAGATGATTATGTTTGTGAGGGCTTGTCTATCAGCGACTACAGGGGAGTGAAATCTAGCTCTTTATGCCCTGCCTCCTAGCCGTTTATACCTGGTGTGCTGATTACCGCGCTCAACATTGTTTTCATCAGATTTTTTCTTGAAGTTGTGGATGAAATTGCCTTCAGCAACCATTTCAATGCATTCCACTTGTACAGGGAATGGAAAACTAAATTACGTCTGTACAACTTGACCGAGTATTCCACTTCCACGATTGTTTGTTGCTGCTGGAGGTTGCTAGTTTATTATGCATTCCATACTCGTCCTGTGAGTGGAAGTGCAAGAAAAATATTACAGAGGGCACAAAAGGTCTTTATCAGTCCTCAGCAGATATTATTACATTACCAGTTACATCTCTCTTGCACATCTTGTAATTATAATGTCAGCTAGTTAAAGATTTTCCCACTTTACCCATGTACAGTATTTATAATTAATCATTGTACATTGATGGTAGGTCTTTTTGCTAGTGCATAACTATTTTAGATATGGGGGCATTACAGGATCATAGAAAAGCTGCTGTATATTATTATTATTATTATTATTATTATTATTATTATTATTATTATTATTATTAAGAAGTTTTCACGCTACACTGCTTCTTCCTTACTCTTGTATGTAAACATATTCTTGTATGTTTACTTTTGCCACAGTCATTTCCAAACTGCTGCTCTGCTTCCCTCATGTTTCTGGTGTATTTATTTACTAAAAACTAAACATGGATACAGTACAAGAATTTCAGATATTTTATAATTTTGTAATATGTAAGATGGTTTGTCATTTCATGCAGAGTGAGTTTAGATTTATATCTAAATACCTCAATTTTTTTCACAGCCTAAGATATAATGTGCTACCGTGTGTCCCTGTCTTTGTCCATACACTAATGTTCTCTTAGCCCCCCCTCCTTTTTAATTTCTTCCTTTCTGCCCAAAACATTATGCGTGTTAGTAGCTTTGCAAGAATGTAAAAATAACAATCTTGTGTAATCTCAAAATATCTCTTGGCACTTACCCTCTCATGTTTATTTGTATATGATGCAGTAAGCTTATTGGTTTGTACAGGTATACAACTACAATGGTACAAAAATACTTGATAGATGTCCTAAAGTATACAGTACTTGGGCAGTTTTATTGCTTCAGTATGAGATTTGTCTACATGTCAAATATTCTAGCTCAAATTTTACCTTACTGGTACAGTATAGTGTACAGTATATACAGTACTTGATTCTGCTGCCAGTTGAACTTTAATACTGTATATCCATTTAGCTGCTTAAGGAATTTCCATACATTAAAGTCAACTGAGTGAACTAGTAGTTTATTTGTTATAGAGTAAGCTATATATAGGCGTGCTATACATAACAAAGCACAATTTGTACAGATTATACTGTATTACTGAAAATCTTTCATACAAAGCCTTAAGACAATTTAAAGTTAAACGGTATTACAAATTGAGATTTGTAATACCAAATTGAAATTACAAATGATCATTTAATAAAGTTTTGTCTCTAAATTTCTCTGCAATATTTATTATCAGATTCCTACACTCATCATCTATGGAGAGAAGGACCAAAAACTTGGCCATACATCTCGTAATGACTTGTTGAACATTCCCTCATCTCAGCATGTGGAAATACCTGGAGCAAGACACCCAGCTTACCTTGATAATCCTGATTTGTTTCACACTCTCTTGTATAATTTCATCAAGCAAGTTCATGCCCATAGAGCTGCAGCATAATGTAACTATGCATTTGTTGATTTGTATGAGCATTGGAAAATATTGTGGCATTTATTACTTAACTTACACTATATTTTTCATATTCATAAACATGTTTAATAATTTAGGAAGGATAATCCCAGAATAGTTAATTATGAGTTCATTAAACAATATTCACATTTCATCAGTAACCTAATGGTTACAATTAATTTCTGTATATGGAGTTACTCTTTGCTGCAAATTTAGTTAAGGTGTTGTGAAGGAAATGCACTAAATAATTTTTTTCTTTAGTTTAGTGATTGTGATATTACCTAGTTTGTATTAGACTTGAGAAATTTTAAATAAAGCTCTTAAGATACAGTTTCCTATTATTTTGATACAAGGGTTGCATTTGTATGATGATTTGATCAGTTACTGTCGTGGTGTAATTTTGGGCCTGGTGTATGTTGTTCTGGGATATTATTTGCATGTTGATACCCTAAAATACTGTCATAACTAAAGGATAATGTAAAAATGTGTAGATTAACTGGTTGCAGCTAAAAAATTATCTGAACTTCAGAGACTTTAGTTTTTGTAGCAGAGGTATTGGTAGCATAGTGGCAGTGGTGACTTTATCAGCATTTTTCATTGTCTTTCGTCCCCCCCCCCTCCTTAGATATGGGGCAGAGGTGTGGTAACATTGAAAGTGGATACATAAGATCTCAAACTCTCCTGTTTAACAGAATCAACAACATTATGGGCCACATCAGTGGCTTTTTCAAACAGATTCTGCTGTACACAGGGTAAAGTAGGCAGTCTGAATTCCACCATGGAATGCACTTCTCTTTCAGTGGGAGGTGGTGTGGGAAGGAGAAGCATCTAGTAAGGGTAGTTGAAAGAGAAAAAAGGATCAAGAAATAGAGGTGATGGTCATAAATAATATACAATCTGCTGTAACTCCAAGGGACAGGGTGAGATAGATTAAGTGGACTTTGGAAAAAGATAAAGGAAGTGGTTGATGTAGAGGTCATCAAGGTAAGTGTAAGGAGCGTGCTTAGGAGTACACAGTGTTTAGGTTTTAATTGTCCTCTTGGCTGCTCCTTATTTTTTCATTGATACATGTTAATGCAATTTCTTTGTGAAAGATTTTTACTGTCAGTGCTACAGTGTCTTCCTAGTTTGGTGCCTTCTTTTTGATAATTATTTGCTTCCAAATGTCAACATATATTCTTTATAACATTCTTCTAAAACACACGGAACTTGTTAATTGAAAGCTGTCAGTTGAAAAGTACAATTTTAATGTCTTACAGAATTTTCCCGGTCATATTGTGTCTCCTACAAATGGATACCTATAGCCAAATATTTTTCAGTACATGTTCAAGTAACACAATGTTAATGCAAACACTTATAAGTGGAAATACCATGAAGTCACAGGAGAATAATTTGCCAATCTGGTAACCAATGAACCATACATTTATCAGTCTTCAAGAACTGATGAAAACTTAACTGTCCATGAAATTCCGTGTAATCTTAATTCTTTTATTTCTCGATGAACAAAGCTTTTCTAACCTATTCTTGTATTAGGATTTAGGCAAGTTTTTAAATATCTACATGATATAACAGTACATGTAGCATTGGTACACAATACAGTATAACAGCCTCCAGTTATATTGCATCATGCACAACATAAAAGCAACAAATTAGCACAAATATTTTAGCTAACCACTGAATGAATTTTAGATAATTAAAACTAGTACTGTAATTATAAAATAAAATCAAACAGAATGACTAGGAAATTTGTTCCTACCCAACTGTTATCGTGTCACAGCCATTTTGTTTTTACACGCACATCGATGTTAAAACGATTGGTCATTTACCTGCTTCCAGACAGGTCTAACTATTTTACACACAATGTCCAAGGTTCAAAAAAAAAAACAGGTAACTTTCCTTATTAGATTAAAAATACCAGTATACAGTCCACTATTGTCACATGTTGGGTGACTGTCTTACACTTATGTTTCTCATTTGCAACATCAACATCTCCTTTGCATAAAGCTATCCAAGCCATTTCATTTACGAAGAAAATTAAAGAAATGCAGAGTTTACTAATGTGAAAATGGTACTTATGCACATTTAATTTTTTTACCTTACATTCATTATGTCACATTTGGAGTTTTTAAAGTTATTTAGGTTATATTTAGGGTTGAAATGTCCATGAATCCAACATTTAATTCTGATCTACAAGTTTTTAGTGTTAAATATATGAATGCCTAATTAGCTTATAAACATGGAGTAACTACGAAAGCTACAACATATGGGGGTGATTTTCTAGTAACACCATTGGTTATACATAAACCACATCAAATTCCTCGGTATACAATTTGTTGTGCTTTATACCTTTGGCACACACACATGCTTTCTTAATTTTTCTAAAAAAAAAAAAAACGTAATGAGTATTGTATAATGAACTATTTTGCAGTTCACATTTATTCCACTCCTTACCTAAGTGGAATCCCTTAAGATTTCTCAGATTATGTCCAGGTACTAATTTTTAGGTGTTGAGTTCACACATTCATGCTAATTATCTTTATCCAGCTTGTACCATCTTAATAAATATAAGTACTAATAATGCATACATAGCTACATATTCTCACGACAGTTTGAGTTTTAATCAAAATGAAAATTAAGTTGATGCCATTTGATACTGTACTCGTTATCTAATTATTTATATAATTCTAGATATTTTTAAGTTAAATTTTTATTAAGTCTGGTAAATAATTATAATGAATTATATAACTATTAAATAAAGTTTTTACAAAGTTGGTGTGCTAGACAGCCCTTACTCCACTTTTGTACATTAGGTGGTGCCGATTCTAACATGCGTAATTGTAGAAGATTGGAGAGAACAATAAAATCGGCCAAAGTTATGTTCGATGTAGCAAGATACGACTCTTTACTCAACCTGGCATCGAGTTCATTCACATAACTAGCTCGTTCTCTGAAAAAAATTATAATTTATGAAAACCTGCCACAGTGTCCATGTCAATTGTTAGATAACATTTTAGTCAATAGAAGGAAACACAAGGAAAATGACATAATACAGTAGACTTTACTAGTATTCTTTCATATTTCAAATTGGAAGCAAATATTTGTGTATGTGGAATCACCATGGAAGTACTGTACTGTGTCTGAAAAAGAAAGTAACAGTAGTTTTCATGTGGAATTCATTGAAGGTCCCATGTCACTCATTAGTGATTGAAATCTAACAATGGTAATGCCTCATCTTTAGTAGATTTAAGATGATTGAATTTTGCCGTGTCCCCAGGCTTATTTGTTGCTTGTTATGAGGTAGCAGACATTAGGAGTAAGAAGTTATTTATGCCTATCCCTGCTCCAGGAGCAAATTTCTACCCTGGCATTTAAAATGCAATCCATAACCTCTTAAATATATGGTTAGTTATTATGGATAACAAATTACATATATCAAATGTGGCTTATTTCCATGAGTCATCCTGTCACCAAAACAGGAAGTGAAAAGCATCTATGGCTAAGTTACGTATTAGTCCTACAAGAATAACTCATGGGCACTTGATAAGATGCAGGTCTTTGTTACATTGTTATAACTACAGTGTTCTGCTTACCACCTTTTCAGAATCAGAAATTATGCATTCTCTATTCCTTTGACTGAATGGATCATTCCTCAGTGACGGCTTCCTTTGGCATCCTGAATATCTAGAGACTTTTGAATAATACTGGTCTGGTGCATTTTTTCCACACACACTGCACATTATAAACTCTTGCTTTTTATATATATCTTTTTTTTCCCCTAAATTTTAGGCCAGAATCACAAATTTCTTGTATATAATCCAGACATATAATTATTCATAACTTTAAATCAAGTGTATAGCAACACGTCTTTGCTTTCAAATAGTATCAAAGAAAAATATAAAATATTTGAGTAAATTTTTGGGTTACTAATTTCTTTAATTAAATTAAAGCTTTTTTTTAATTTAAGAGCAAAATCTTTAAGCAATAAGTATATCTGAATACATTCTCAGGATAGAAGGATGGCATATTGTTTGGATCCAGTTATAATGTGGCAACACTACTGTGTTTACCTATATATGGACCACTCGAAGTATGTACAGTACAGTGCACATAAGTTGAAACTACAGGTTCTAAAAGAATCTATGGCCAATTCAAATAAATAATACTGTACATAAACAATTTTACATCATGCACCTTCACTTTGTATAATGTTGCATTAACATATTATTAAATACTAGACAAATACATAATAAGACTGAAACAAAATTTACTTACTTATTATTCCCTAGAGTAAATTTTGAATGACACTTATCAAGAAGTTCATCTACTTGGGCAGTGAAGACAGAGTTGGATAAGCACTCGTACAGGTTTATGGGGCAGGCAGCCGCTTCCACCAGCCTAGATAAGTATCGCCCAATGTTGTGCTCGCCGCAAATCTGAAATATGAAACTTGTTTAGGTTTATGAATTATCAGGAAACTTTTTTGTGCTTCATAGCCTTCATTCTAATTACAAAGATGGAAGCATGGAATATGTTTCAGTAAGCACAAGATCTTTCTCTTCATTTATATAAATGATTTCTCAGTTGTGAGCTGACTGGCCTTTGTCATGGAAAGACTACTAAATATTTTTAGAATGGCACATGTGGGCAGTCTAGCAACAGATTTGCGTAATGCAAGGGCTAAAGGCATTAAGTCGACTGGAGGAACATCACTAGAATCCTATAGGGCTTGGTACTACCCCTAGTAATGTAATGCTTATAGTACAATATACATAAATGATCTACCAGCAGGGATAGAGTTGTATAAACATGTTTGCACATGATGCTATTTACAGTATTACAGATTACAGTATGTATTGAGAAAAATAAAAGCCTTAAACAAGTGCCACACCTAAACAAAATATGCCAATGAATCCTCATGTGGACCAAGACCACAAAATAGTTTGTGGGACAAGTGAGAATAATCATTATTCAGTGTATAAAAAGACAAAAGATCTCTGCCAGAGAAAGTACCTTCACAGTAAGCTATAACCAGAAGACCACATCAAAGCATATGCTATATTGGCCATATTCAAAATTGCATTGAAGTATATGGATGATGACATTTGTGAGACCCAAGTTGGATTATGTAGTGGTTCCATGGTGTCTAAGCCTTACCAAAATTACACTGAGACCAACACAGACCTACCAAGAGCCAAGACCAGAATCTAGTTCTATCAAGAAAACGAGGGAAGCTTGCTGATCATATACAAGTATCTACAAAAATCCAAAGAACACCATTGGTAGGCATTCTAGATGAATCCTACTGCATAACTAAGTCTAGCCACACCATAGTACTGCTTTCATCATCAGATTCCTGTCACTAAATCCTGAATATGAATAATTTTCTACAAGTTTATTTTCTAAAGGAGCACGAGGTCGTTTCATGATGCATAAATGCATGAAACAATGGTCCAGTGCTGTGGCTGTCTTTGCCTCATGCTGTGAACATCATAACTAGTATTGGGCTCACTGATATCTGAACCTTGTACATAGTCTTTATCAGAGTCAGGATCATTTATGACACTATCATCACAGTTTCTCTCTCCTGATAATTACCTTACCTTACCTTGCCCAACTATTGTCGCAAAATATTCACAGTTATGTATTTTATTCATTATTATTAAGTGGTGCTGGGAGTGCCAGTTGCATGTATTACCCTTGGTTGCTCTCACTGTACTGAGGCTCTCACAGCCAGGAGGGATGCAGGTGATTTTTTCAATATGGCATCCCGATGGAATCCCGATGAACAGGTTGTGAGCCCCATGTACCTGCAGGAGTATTGAATCGTTCCCTATACTGTACCTACAAATGAGTTTTCTTGGCAAGTGCGGTATCTCAGTGAGCACACTGCCCATCAAATCAGAGATCTCGGGTGAGTGCAGTACAGGGCTCAATGAGAGCAGAGAAAGTAACTGGTTTGTGAAAGTCCAGTTACTTACAGTTGCTCTCAAAATGCTGAGCCACTGAATTAATTGACCTGAGGAAACCAAGTAAAGGATACAGTCAAAGCAAGTGTACCAGACCCTCTGGCCCAAAGCAACATAGTAGAAGAGATCTGGTTTCTAAGGCAAGAAATTGAAGCAAACCTTAACCCAACTGTCAAAAGAAGACAAGGCTGGTATGAGTCAAGTCTGTAGCTGGAACAAAAAGAACAAAACCAAATGCTGTACAGTAATCAACACACTGCCAAAGCGTGAACCAGAGGTAAAGAAAGCAGACAGTTGCAATAAAGAAAGTGAGTAGATGTCTCTGATGAAGTACTGTATATGGATTTAAATGTTGAACATTAAACATTTTCTTTGGTAATATATAATGTTGCACACCTGAAATATTTTGTAAGTTATGTATGGTTCCCAGCTCAGCTGTTCAATACATTAAATTAAATGTTACATTGCTCATACAATTTAAGCCTACTAGAAATTTGTCTTAACTTACAAATTGTTATTATTATTTCCAGACAAATAATGATCAATCTTACCTTGTTAGCTGCCAATGGAGACACTGTTAGTGTCGGCATAAGGGCTGTGGGAGAGTCACCATCTTGTCTCCACACTAGAGTTAGGCACACATCGCTGTCGGTGCGTTCTACTCCACGTTTCACTCCCCAAAACTGTTGAAGTTTCTCTGACACTTCCTGCCCATAGGAAAAGCACCACAGGTTATTTTCTTTTTTTTTCTTGGGCAATACATAATGTATGCTATACTGTATTATTTTCACATCTATTAAAAAAATTAATATACTGTAACTTGAGAATGAGTCTAGTGTTGAGTCTTTAAACTATAATTAACGTATTAAAATTCTAGTCTTTGAATGTTTACTATATTTTGATAATGTACAAATATGTAAGTTGTTTAACATCATGCAAGTTCAAACAACCCCTCATCTTGTTTACATTTGGCCATACCAATACAAACATTTACATCAACACAAAGATAACGATGTAGATAAACCAAGCTACATTCACACCAAGTGATTTTACAGATTGAAAGATTTTATCTCCAGTTTATAAACAAAAATAAGGAAAAAATGAAATAAAGTTTTCTAATGTTATTTATAAAAGAGTGATCATGAAAACTAAAACTATTCAAGAGACTGTATGCAGCTTACCTTGACCGTGGAGTGACAGTGGACCTGTAAACAAATAGAGTAGGTTGTGGAGAGTGCATTAGCCAAAGCTCGGATGCTGTATGGCGGCCGCCGAGGGTCAGCATAAATAACCACATCATGCACTACTCCCAGTTTTGGCCCACCTGTGGAAAGAATTCTTTTTAATGTAATTGTGAAATAACAAAAAATAAGCACTGAATGATTCTGGTTCCAATAGAACTGTGACTGTCCAGAGACCTGGAAGCATTTGTCTCTGCACCATCCTTAAGTGCCGAGAAGGTACTGATGGGGGGCCAACCCCCATACTGTATATGCCAATAATAAACCAATACTCTACTAATAATCATTTCCTAGGTTCATTGCTATGCTATTTGATTAAAAGCTCTAGGGGTCACCATGTTAATATTATAAGCTACACACAGTAACCTGTGCTTGTGGTCCAAAAACACAATATGAATAAATATTGCACATGATATAGTACTCTGTGGTGCACTAGATAAAATCCATTTAAGTTTTATTACCATAATAAAATGGTAAATGATCAATATAAATTATTTTTAAATTCTCATCAAAATAAACATAGACTATTCCATATAATACATTTAAATAATGTAAACACCTATAGCTCACAACAAATAAAATACCTGTTTGTAACTAGCAAGACACCTACACGTGCCCTTACAATCAGTACTAACCAGTCAACTGAGTGGTGACAGCAGTGTCAGACTCCTCCAGATTGACACCCATTTTAGCAGCAATGTTGGCAACCTTTGCTTGCAGGGCTAACAACCTATCTAAAATTAGCTCCTGCCGCTTGGTTAGGGACTGTACTGTTGGAGCTCCGCTCTTGTCTGGCTCTTCTCGTTTTCTGAACCTGCCAAGTAAATGCCATTAGTGGTTGTGTATTAAAAAGTACTACAGGTATAAGAACATATGAATTAAGAGTAGCAATACAGCAGCCTTACTGGCCTATTTAAGTAAATAAGATACCCATAGTATAAAAGAAGAAATTATTTTAATTACATAAGATCTAGTAACATGAGCAATAGTAACATACACATACACTGTGTATGAGTAACATACACAGATGCTGCAGTACATAATATCACATCTGTCATAAGTCACCATTAGAGTAGTGGGAGGTACAGCAAAAATATAACTAAAGACCAATTTGTTCTCTTTCAACAAATTCACAACCACATATTGACAAACTAAATTATAAAATCAACCAGATATAATTCACTAGCATTAATAATAAAGTACAACTTTTTATAACTTTAAAATAGCCATAACATTTATAAACAAATTTTTTTATATTTTTGATTATACAATATTTTTTATTTGAAAGGCATTTGTTAAGTGACATATAGTAGTAAATACACATACACCACGACAAAGTGTAGCACATTTGTCTTTATGGTAAATTCTGTTTCAGTAATTCTTCTTAACCTACTGAGTTTAGGCTCTCCAGCAGGTTGTATTGAACTGTCCCCTAAATATTTAGCACAAAACTTGTTAAAATTCTAGTAGATAAATATTTATGCTTCAAATATTTCTTAAATAATTCTGAACACTCATTTATCATCATTATACAATTTCTCACTTCATGGGATTGTCAGGCATCAAGCTTGCAAAAATGACAAAAGCAATGCCATACCAGCTATAGAAACAGTAAAATAATTGTCAGAAGAAAGTGCTAAATAAGGATGGCCACATAGCACTGTCTACTTACCCACATTCCCCTTTTTCAAGAGTTCCTAGATATCAATCAGAATACCAATAGAAGAGCAGGAAGACATAGATAGTGATGTCAAAGAAGGCAGATTCACCTAGGATTTTATATCCTAGGTGAATCAAATGACTTTGATATAGTGTACATTATACTATACATGCATGTATACACAACATGCATGAACCTTAATCCTGGCACTGTTGCAGTTGACTCTTCCCTTTCACAGTACATACTTAAATGCTCTTAACATTCTGAACAAACATGATCTGACTTAGCTTTGACCTCTCTAGGCTCTCTTTCCTGTCTCTCTTTCATTACTAGATCTTTGTTCTCTTTGTTCTTTCCTTCTATTTAAGTTTTTTATTTATACCCTTTTTCCCCATTCCTCTTTTTTTCTCCCTTCCCTTACTTCTAACCCCTCTACTTTACCCGATTCTCTTTATTCTTACCTTTTTCTCTTATTCTTTCATTTCATCCATTTTTTCTCATACTTTTTCATTCATCTTATTCTTATCTTTATCTTTCATTCATCTCACCACTTCTCATTTTCTTTCACTCTCTTTCCATTACATGACTTGACAGTGGTCCTGGGCATACCAAAATGTTGGCATTTTTTCATTTTCTGCGTGTGATTCAGCCACGTAATTGTCATTCATCATCTGCTTAGTGTGACGGCTCAACTTGTAAGGTCATATTCCAGCCAAAGTTGCAACTTCACAAACCAGGCAAGGTTGAGAGATCATGTGCCAGAGAAAATGAAAATATTTGCATATCACAACCACTGAAGTATTAATGTAAGTTATATAATGCGGGGGAAAAAATACACATTGACTACAGAACCATTGAAAAAGAGAATTGACACATCATTCCATAGAGTTGTGTACTAAATGGCTAAAGGGAAACGATTTGCCAAGATAAAATGTGGCTCTGAAAGGAAAAGCTAATTTAGCAATAATTCTATCACACATTCTGCAAGGACAATATCATTTTAGAAATAAAAATTTGTCATGGACAATAAATGAAAAGAATCAAAGCTTAATAGATAACAAAATATGACAAACAGCAAACCAAAATCAGTTGTCAAGGCAATAACTAAATTACATCAGCAAATTATACAAGTCAAAATAACAACATTGTACATCAAGTAGCAGTATTAGAGTGGGGCTTTGTGTAGAACCAGACAACATTCTGAAAAATACAAGCAGCTAAAAGGATGTATTCAAGAGGGTAGTGAAAATCCACACAGTTATTAAAGAGAATGAACACAGACCAATTTGAAGGTGCACATGAGAATGGATTAGTATAGACAATCAACATGAAAGTCACTCTACCTCCATGTCTCTGAACTGAAGTGCACGACATTTTATGATGTCAAGATTGGTAAACTGACTGTATAAAAAATTAAAGCATAGTTGACTGGAGTAAAGTACAGTGATAAGGTCAATATATAAATAAAGCTTTTATGTAGCTACTGTACATCAGTAAGATTTATAGACTATCAACAAAAGTGTAAATGGCACAATGTCTCTCTTTAGTCCACGGAAAAAATTGTAAGTTCTTAAAAGGTCATATGCAATCAACAGCAAAATTTTTAACTAATATTATAAATCTACATTTATAGATATGTAATAATTATATAAAAAAAAAAGACACCAAGCCTAGAAGACTAGATAGCACTATGTAGTAGTTTTAATGTTCAAAAAATTTGAGAAGGCTGCCGATACTTTTGACTCACTATTTTCAAAATAGTTTGAATTTTGCACATCTGACAGACCCTGGATCAGTCGTCTAAAATGTCACGAGTGAAGGACTTCACACAGATCACACAACTCTGCTTTCATTTGAGAGTTAATGAATGTTTGCAATTTTTTTTTTAAAATGACAGCTCCTTGATGCAGAACCCTGCTCAACTGTCCCAAATAGTGGGGTGCTGCAGTATACGTTGTAGAAGATTTGGCGAGTGGATATTCTCTCCTACAAGATAATATTTTGTATTACAATTAATTAAAGCTTTATTATGCTGAAGGTTAAGTATGCACCATGTTGTTATCTACCTGTGAGCTGTGACAGTGTGTTGACAAACACTGAACATTTGAACACCACGTATCATTTGCATGTTGTAAGCCAACAACATTTCAAGATTGCACAAGTTGTCGGAACACAAAAATAAATTTTTACTACAGCACAGTACAATTTTTTTTTGACAACATTAATTTTCTCGAGTTGACAAATGACGATGATTTATTTCTAAACAAAATCCCTGATGGCTTTAAGGTTTAAGAAAAACAATCAATTACGAACCCAGTACTCTGGAATTACATGTTACAACCAAATAATTTGACATTAATTCAAGGAGAAAATGTCGTCATCCAGAATTCTGCTAATGGGAATCTACTACAATGGATTAAAATCATAAGAAATTATAATGTCACTATTTTATTAAAAAGGTACATGCCAGAAAAAATTCTACCCATTTAAAAAAAAAAGCAATATAATAAATGTACATTACAGAGTGTACCAGTTGTTACAAACAAAATATAGTAACATTACTGCTATCTAAAACAGGCACCTGCTAATACTGGCCATTCATTACCCCATTATACAATCCTCAACATGCAGAGGAAAGCATAATTAAATTACCAATACAACATACAAAAAAATAAAAATGCTGGATATCAAGACAATGTAGATTGAAAAAACAAATAAATTATATCCATTACCACATCCAACAAAATTTTATATTTATAAACAATGATTTTTCCTGCAAAAACAAACACATTGCAACATCTTAAAACAGTAATGAAATGCCTTATAAAATACATGCATAAATGAAGAAAATACATAGATACTGCACTCAGGATACATCTAATCAAAGCTAAATTTATTAAATGAGAGAAAATGAGCATATTTAGTTTACATAACATCCAAACACCACTTTCATGCATCTTTATAAACACTACTTCTAAAATATGACGACGTGTCTCAAGTCAGCATCCATACAACTTTAAACAACTAGCACTCTACTGTATTTACATCAATACAAATTGCACATTTTTTATCCCAATACTTGACCTCACCAATTACCCAATACTTCTTTACTTGATCTCTACTATAAACTATGGGACTAAAGAATCTTATTGGAAGGAAGAGCATGGGTTATCTCAATCTAGGGTGTGATTAACTCAAGGAAAGCAGACCCCAGGCATAAATTGAGTTATGTCCAAGTTTGAACTATTTTAAGTGGAGTTCAGGACAGAGCCTTCAAAGGGACCTGCATTGTTTATTATTTATGTATATATATATACAATTTAAACACAGGAGTGAACAACATTTGCAAATTTGAAAATAATAAAAAATAAAAAAAATAGGGCAGGAAATAAATTCAGAAGACACCATGGCTCTAGCATTTTAAGATGGTATGTACATTTAAAGGATAAAGAAGATAATTAAACTTAAAGATGTGGCTTACAACTAGAGGCATCTTATACAAATATGATACCACTAGATAAATGAGAGAATGAGATGCAGTAAATGACAACTGAAAAGGTCCCAATAGTACAGTTGGGTTCGTTCTTGACGTACAATTGAGAATTCCTGGTGTGAATCCCAGGCGGGACAGAAATAGTTGGGCACATTTATTTTCACCTAGCAGTAAGTAAGTACTCAGGAGTTAGTCGGCTTGTTGTGAGGTTGCATCCTGGCTTCCTGTCCCCCGACACAATGAAGTATAAATAGAGACATTTTAGGTTACTTAAGTAGAGTGTTCAGCAGTACAATTTCAATGTCAGCCCACAGAAATCTCATTTGCTGTGATCTTGGGTATTTTAGTATACGTAACAGCATATTAAACTAACATCAGCAGCAAGGGTTATATCTTGTACTTTATATCAATTTCCCATAAATTACATTACACACGCACACTATAGTATATATATATATATAATATATACATGTACTGTAGCTCGGGTCACAGTCAAAGATATTTTTAATCCCCATTATAAACTCCACACACAAACCATGGTTTGTAAAATAAAAAAGACAACTGTCATTGTCAATTCTAACTCATGATATCATAAATTCATAACCCCACAACATTTTCCTTTGAATTTTTGTCAGTTACAACACTTGTTCAAATCCAACACTTACATAATCACACATTCATTTGGGGTGCAACATCAAGTGGGAGGAGGGTACAGAAAATTATATAAAAATGTAGCGCACAGCACGTAAGGCCTACTTGTCAATGGTGCAGACAGGATTGTCGAGGATCAGCTCCATTTTCACCCGAGGGCCAACCAGTTCTCGGATATTGTTGATCCCATACATTATCATTGCTGGCCTGCAATGGTCAACAAAAAAAAATCTAATGTCACGATCTTCTAAATCTTCTTGTCACGATGAACAAATAAACACAATTCATAAATAAATACATCACAAAAAGCACTATTTGGGCTCAACAGTGATTGCTAGTTCATTGCACGGCCTACTCAATCATTGACACTAAGAATTACAATCATGAATTTCCAGTCAGACAACTAATATTTTCATTCAGTTTTATTATGATCTTGGTACACTTAAGATTATTCATTTCAGTTTTGGCCATAGTATTATAGAATGAACATAAATTAAATTGACAAATATTATATACATACAGTATATATATATTTATGAGCGAGGCAAGAGGAATGGAGAGAGTGGGTGCGGAGGGGAGTGAGGGAATGTGATTGGGAGAGTGGGGGGGGAGAGGGGAAGAAATAGGGGGAGTGGGAGAGAGAGAAGATGGAAAGAAAGACGGGAGTGAGAGAGAAGAGGAGAAGACGGAGGGGAGAAGGAGGGGAGTAGGAGACGAAAGACGGAAGAAGGGGTTGAGGAGAGAGACCCAGACACAGCCGGGTACCCCATCTAATACTGTACATTTATAGAGGTATAAAAATGGTGAGTGCCTAAGTGGAGATAGTATCTTATAAAAGGTTAAATCAATTTTCAGAATGGAGGAAATTTTATAGGAAAAACTATATCGAGTCAAAATAACAAATTCACATTACCTCTCTAATGACAGGCCCCAGGCAGCAACAGTGACATTTTCTGGGATCCCCATTGGTCGCAACATCTCGGGACGAAACATGCCAGAGTTGCCAACTTCAACCCATTTCTTCAAACCTTCATGGTAACTGAGGACAACAATAACACAAGCTTTCAAATTTCAAATGTAACACTGTAGAGAAATACACTAAGGTGTATTTGAAAAATATTATTTTTTAATACAAAAAATACACTTATTTTTATATTCTTTATAATTATATAAAATAGTTTATATACTGTAAATGTAAAACCAACTCTCATTTGCATTTACTTTCAGCAACCACTTTACAAATTTTGGTGTTACAAATCTACCTAAGTGTGCATTCACTTTATTTGCAATTGTGTAAATTGAGGGTTCACTGCACAAACTGTGTCTTACCTGAAAATTTCCATAGATGGTTCAGTATATGGGTTATATGCAGGTTTGAAGCGCAGCTTGGTTATGCCGATCTTTTCAAAGAAACCCTGGAAAATAGAGAGTTCCGTGTACAAGTTCTATTAATAAAATGAATATTTTTTCTCACATCTGTACTGTATATGTATCATGGAAATCCACTGGATTGGAACAATTTATTCAACATCCAGTATATGTGCAATCTTGGATTCTGTTCACCTAGCAGTAAAAAGCTACACGAGACGTCAGTAGTTAGCCTAGGGGGATGGCTTAATAGGCTTTCAGGCCCCAACAACAGAAACTAGAAGACTTACGAATATACTCGCTGATTATTAAAAGTGAAGTTCACTAACCCATCATTCAGTAACCACTACATATTGAACTACCATGTACTAAGGTGCCCCTTAGCACTTGGTCCCCAGGGCAACTCCTGCAGTTTCTGGTGCCACGAGCCAGCCCTGGCAGTACGGGAGTCTTGCATACAAACCTTTAAACCTTCACATTATTTCATCTGAGAACTATGAAGACCCTCCTACCACAGACTGAAAGTCTTCCCACAAAATTAATTACCAAGGTTCAACCCATTCTCTTGAAAGTGAGGCTCCTAGGTCAGGTGGTGGGCCGAGAACATGATCTGAAGTTTGACACGCATTTCCTTTTGCTTTCAAAAGCTATAAATATTGGCATAAGAACACTAAATAAACATCAGCCTTTAAAAGATATTTGTCAAAAGAGCCTTCACTATGTATATTTGTAAACTACAGCACAGTATACATAATATAACAAATGTATTTAAAACTGCATAAATAAAGAATTAAGATACCTTTATTAATCCCATAAGGTTTTTAATGCTCAGATTATAGTCAGCCACCACACCCTCAATCTGGTTGAATTCAGCAAGGTGTGTTGCATCTAATGTTTCATTTCGAAATACTTTGTCTATGGAGAAAAACTTGACTGGTCTGAATCCTTCCTGAAACAAAAACAAAAATATATATATATACTAAATAGCATTATATATATATATATATAATTATAAACCAATGGTTTTAATTCTGCTATTAATTATTTACCCACTGTAATTTGAAATTTGCCTACAGTATACTATATTTAGCTTATACTCCTCACCCACAATACCAACATGTGTTGCAATTACCATCATAGTTCCCTACTATGAATCCATCCCCCTCCTCAAATTCTCCAGAATAACAATATAAATAACCTCAGATTTTGGATTCTTTAGCTGCCCCGGCCCCAGAAAGCAGACAGGTTCATGTGACTGAGCAAACTGCAAGAGGTGAGAATCAAGAACAGAGGTTGGAAATGACAAAAGATTTTAAGATGGAAAGATTGACGTGTTAAGTTCGTGCGAGACAAAGATCATCGAAAATGGTAATGGAGAATGGAATCGAGTGAATATTCTATGAAAAACAGTGAAAAAATGTGAAGGCAGGAAAGAAACAACATGCTTGTTAATGAATTATGAATGGTATGGTACAATGAATGTCTTGCACTGCAGAACAGGGTGATTGTGAGTGAAATTCAAGTTTGAAAGAGTAAAGATGGCAATTGCTATTGCATATATACCTTTTGATGACAGAAGCAAAGATGAAATAAGAGGTTTTTGGTGCAGCCTACAGAATGAGGCCGATATGATACTTAGGAACTCATCTGCACTGAGTTGCTAAACACCACAAATTATATGGCGATGTTCAAGACTACATTCTACATTCAAAATCCAAAATGTAGCTGTTGTCCATGTATAAGTAACATAACTGAATTAAAGTCCTAAGCAGTTTAATGACTTGTACAGTAAATATAAATGTCATGTACATATTACCTGAGCCAGTTTATACAGCATGCGTGCACTAACAGCTGTGGTATGAGTACGCAGAAGATTTTTGTAAGCCTCGTCCCTGCTCCAATCATATTGGTATCCAACGGAGCCATATCCACCGCTTGTGTGCGTTTTCTTCACCTGTGGAAATCTTTGTAGTAAATTCGAGTAATATAAATTTGTAAAAGGGTAACATTTTATTTTATTCACAGAACTTTCCTAAATCTGATTCATGATTAATTACTTTTTAAGTACAGTACCGAGAACTGTGTGATTATTTTATCGACCCATTAACTAAGCCAGCAATTGTCTAAATTTGTTGTTTATATTTCCCTTTCCGGTTTAGCAGCTTTTGAATAGCAGCATTTTATCCATCCCTATTTTGCCCCACACAGCCATGTCAGTCCAGCTGACACCACATTGTGTTGGTTAGGCTGGCACAGGTCAGAGTAGGTTCAGTTCATATCAGTGTATGAGGAGTGACTGGTCTTATGTCGTGTGGCCTGGTTGTCCCTGGGTCGAGTTGCCCAAGCTACTGTGCCATGCTCCGTTGTGCTGGAAGTGTTATCTTGGCTGGTTTCTGCAAGTTGCTTTTTCCATGGGGACGTTCTACATTCTATTCCACCCCAGAATTTCTGGTTGCAGCAGAAACATAGAAGTGTGGGCTCCTGACAAGGAGAACCACCAGCTCTGGACTTGTGAAGATATATTATCATCATCCTAACAGATACACAAGTCCTTATACAATATTGTTACTAACCTTTTGCAGATATTCTTCAGGTACACCACTTGTCTTTCCTGGCTCGGCCACATAGAAGGTGTCGTGTGCATCTCGTGCTGGATGTTGCTGAGGTTGAAAAAGAGCATCAAAATTCCAGAAAGCACTTTCGACAAAATTGTTGGTGGGCATTTCGGAGAAACCCATTTCTAAGAAGATCTGGCGAAATTCTGATCTTAGCTGCATTAATGGGTGGAGATAGCCGGACCGCTGTTCAATCCTTCCCTGAGGATACAGAAGAACATGAATGACCAAATACTGTTCTTCAATATATATATATAGTACTGTATTAATATTAATGTAAAATGTCAATATAAAAAAATGACAATGGTGTGATATACCACTGAGTAAATCATTTGGATTAAGTCAAGCATCCAGGAGTCACTAGAATTATGATTTAAATACAAGTATTGCTATAAATGATTTTCTAATTTCTATAATACTGTATATTATTGCTGTATAACATTCTTGCCATAAATTTATCTCTTAGACATTTTTTTATCTTGTCAAATGTCTCGCACTTGCCCATCTTTTTCTCCAGCCACTTTTATTAACAGTTCCAGCAATATATGCTACAGCGGGCATTTACACTGTTTTTAAGTTAATTATTTCATTTACATGTTCATGCCCTTTAATTCAGTTACATAACGACAACTTGAGAGTGCTTGCAAGCCCACTATGATACAAGTTCCTTTGTAGTGTTCAAAGTTTTATATGTTACTAATCTCTATCAATCTTTTTTTGGCCCTAACAAATAAATGCAACAGCTCCCTCTACCAATCGAGGCTCCTCATTTATTTACACTAGAGAATAAAACTAAATGACCCCTTGCTGAGCTTGAATCCAAGGCCAAACATCTGGTTACCTGACATATGCTGCTTAACCTTTTCAACATCTCTAGTCATAAATGTAAGCATTCTTTGTATACTTGGTTTAATTGTTGTATGCAACACTATCTTAGATTCCCATGTTTTGTCTTTTTACCTGCATTCATTGCACCTTGATGCTGTTTTTGTGAAGATCAGTATTCATTTGCAGAAAGTGAATCTCTAAAAATGTCCTCATTCCAGTGTCCCCTAACGTGTGGAGAACGAACTGAAGCCTGATCCTTTCTTTAAGGGTGATGTTATGTCCATGTCCTGGGTAACCCCAGCCTTAATATAATGTTATTGTGCTTACCTTGAGTATAAACACATTCTGACTATTTGCATTGCAATCAATTTCACTCTTATTCTCAGATACAGTAATCATGACCTACTTTGTATCTAAAATATAAATTATTGCATATGACCCCTAAACAAAAATAATACTGAAACTAAGCTCTGCTTAAGAGGAAATGTCATCTAATTTCAAATTACTTACAAGAACTATGAATTATAAAATATTTCATACTAATTTGAACTACTCCTCTATCACATACCTTTGATTTGAAGTTGAAAGGTTTGAAGGTCTTGTTCTTCCATTGACCACTCTCAATCATTTCTTTAGTTAACTCTGCCTCTTGCTTCACAACTGAGGTAGTGAACTCACTGCCTTTGCTAACTTCAAATACAGTCATGTCACTGTAGACAGAAATCAGTAAAGTCATAGTATCTTAAATTATAACTATCCACTATTAAATATTGTTTTAATTAATTTAAAAAGTTTGCAAGGGTATTACTTTAAAAATTAGAAACAAATCAAATATTGCCGTAAGTTATTCATGACACCAATGGGAGCAACTTACACTTCTTTAATCAGTTTCCTCTTCTTATAATCAGCTTTGATCTTATCTGGTACACTATTTTCAGCTCCAGAAGCAATCGCTTTTAGATGGGTTTGTACTACATCATCAATGGAGGCCACAGCAGGGATTACTCTCTCTCCTTCTTTTCTTAACCACTGAAAAACATTAATTCTTAATATATATATATTACAAACAGAAATTACAAATGAAATAGAAATATTTTCTCATGACAATACAATATTTTATATGAAGTACAAACTACCAGGCAAACCTCACTTTACAAGTGAGGCAGGCGCCTTCCCCGAAAAGTATTTGATAAGTAAATATTCGGTAACAGGATTCGGTAAAATCCCTTTCCCATTGGCTGCCATGCCATAGCTCTCCAGGAATGTAATCCTTTGTGCATATCGAGACATGACAATTAAAAATGCCATTTTCCCCTATAAATTTTTTTTTATAATACTTGTGAGAATATTTAGTCTAACTTAGAACATTTCCAAGTACAGTAATCCTTTTTAAAGTTCTTACCTTATTTTTCATGGCTGCTCCAAGAGCAAAATTTGAATTTGGGAAACTGGCTTTAATATCCCCCAGAGAGCGTCCCTCTGGTGGCAAGGAGTTGAACAACTGTGCCTCATGAGAGCCGTTGGTGGCCAAGCTGGCACCTTCATCAGTGCACTCCCATGTCTTAAGAACCATTTGTTTTACATCTATAACCTGCAAACAAGACAAATCTTAAATTAGCTTCAATTTTAGTAAAAACAACAAGCTATTGAGTACAACAAAATGTTAAAACTCGCATGCATGCTAGTGAGATTTCCTAAACCAAATACTTAACCTTATTTAATCAAGTAAAACCCTCTTTTGCTATTAAGACAAGATTCACCCAGTATTTTATTCCTTAGAGTAAAAAAATAAAAAGAGTAAAGTATCCGGCCACTTAGGCACCTACTGTACTTTTGTTTCAAAACTGATTAAATATATGAATACTGTACCAGATAATGATCTGAAAAATCCTAATATAAACTAAGAGAAATTTATTAATAAAAAGATACCAATCAAGCCTATACAGTAGATGCAATATTTACAGATATATCAATTAAAATATGATGAGGGCCAAAGTTACGATGCATGCAATGTGGTCTCTGCTTGTGTTAGTAGTCGACCAGGTAATTATATTCCCAGCTTTTGATGGTATTTCTCCTTTTTTTTTCACCATATTCTACATTATACTGTACTTGCCTTCCTTCAACATAGGAAGGCAAATACAATGTAAATGGCTATGGGCATGTCCCAGCCCATAGTTCATGGGAAATGCATCCTGGAAGCATCTCTGGTTGCAACTAATCCTTCACTGCAACGAATTCGGGTTGGTCCTATATAATTCGTTGAATTAACATTGTACTGAACTGTACTGTGCAGAATGCTAGATGTTGTACCTTCATACTATGCAGACTCCATGGCATGACATAGCATGCCCTAGCAACCAAGATTCACAACCATTGTTCAAGCAAAAGTGGACCATCACTACCTCCCCAGTATTAAAGTCGAGACTCATAGGACTTGTACTGTAGGTAACATTCATAGAGCAGATGTTCCTTCATCCACTACATACAAAATGCCGCTCCCCACTGGCCTATATCAAACAATTACAATCCCTCTGTTAGGTTAGGCAGGGAGTCATTATTCAGACAAAGAATTACATGGCCATCCTGCACAAACTTTTCCCAAAATGGTCCACTCTTCAAACTGAAGCCTGTTTTGTAGGAAACATGGCCAGAGTGATGCAGGAGAGCCAAATACAGGAAGCCGGCACCAATAACACGCCATCCTGCACCCAATTCTTCTGTTCCCCCCGCAGTAAATAGGTACCCGGGAGTTAGGCAAGTGTTCCGAGATATATCCTAGGAAAAGTCATCGGTAGTTGGTCGGAAAAGGGGAGGAGGGACCTTGATAGGACTAACAAATTTCCTGTATCCGACTATGTGATACTGTACCATAAGGTGAACCAACACCTGGCTGCAAGCACTTTGCTGCCAACACCAACACCTGGCTGCCAGCACCTAGCTGCCAACATCTGGCTGCCAACACCTGGCTGCCAACATCTGGCTGCCATCATCTGGCTGCCAACACCTGGCTGCCAACACCTGGCTGCCAGCACCTGGCTGCCAACACCTGGCTGCCAACACCTGGCTGCCAACATCTGGCTGCCAGCACCTGGCTGCCAACACCTGGCTGCCAACACCTGGCTGCCAACATCTGGCTGCCAGCACCTGGCTGCCAACACCTGGCTGCCAACATCTGGCTGCCACCACCTGGCTGCCACCACCTGGCTGCCACCACCTGGCTGCCACCACCTGGCTGTAAGCACCTGGCTACCAACATCAACACATGGCTATCAGCATCAACACCTGGCTGCCAACGCCTGGCTGCCACCACATGGTTGCCAACACCTGGCTGCCACCACCTGGCTGCCAACACCAACACCTGGCTGCCAGCACCAAACACCTGGCTGCCAACACATGGATATCAGCTGCCAGCACCCAACACATGGCTGCCACCACCTGGCCGTAATACTCACGTTTCCAAGTGACTGTAAGGACTTGATGGCGCCCACCACCTTCTGGTGAGAGTGGTTGTGAGCCAGCGCCAGCTCCTGCGACCTGAGGACACCATTCTCCTGGAGAGCGAGGAGGATGCTCCGCTGGACCTCCATCACGGCTCACTCGTGTTGTCCTCTCCCGATGACAACTCCCGCATCTGATATATACTCACTCACCACCACTATAATAAATATTACCAATATTATCATTATCTTTTAAGTATCTTCTGTTTAAAATATTTACGAAGGCAATCATGTACTTATATTTAAATACTAAACGATTGGAAAAACTATTAAACTAATAATTTTTCCTCAAATGCTTTAATGCTGAGTATTCACAGCAATATGCGCTGTTCTATATGAGGGATTACAGTGTGCACCCTGTTCTATATGGATTACAGTGTGCACTTTGTTCTATATGAGGGATTACAGTGTGCACTCTGTTCTATAGGAGGGATTACAGTGTGCACTCTGTTCTATATGAGGGATTACAGTGTGCACTCTGTTCTATATGATTACAGTGTGCACTCTGTTCTATATGATTACAGTGTGCACTCTGTTCTATATGACGGATTACAGTGTGCACTCTGTTCTATATGATTACAGTGTGCAGTCTGTTCTATATGAGGGATTACAGTGTGCAGTCTGTTCTATATGAGGGATTACAGTGTGCAGTCTGTTCTATATGAGGGATTACAGTGTGCACTCTGTTCTATATGATTACAGTGTGCACTCTGTTCTATATGAATACAGTGTGCACTCTGTTCTATATGACGGATTACAGTGTGCACTCTGTTCTATATGATTACAGTGTGCAGTCTGTTCTATATGAGGGATTACAGCGTGCACTCTGTTCTATAAGAGGGATTACAGTGTGCACCCTGTTCTGTATGTGGATTACAGTGTGCACCCTGCTCTATATGAAGGATTATAGTGTGCACCCTGTTCTATATGAAGGATTACAGTGTGCACCCTGTTCTATATGAGGGATTACAGTGTGTACCCTGTTCTATATGAAGGATTACAGTGTGCACCCTGTTCTATATGAAGGATTACAGTGTGCACTCTGTTCTATATGAAGGATTACAGTGTGCACCCTGTTCTATATGAAGGATTACAGTGTGCACCCTGTTCTATATGAAGGAATACAGTGTGCACCCTGTTCTATATGAAGGATTACAGTGTGCACTCTGTTCTATATGAAGGATTACAGTGTGCACCCTGTTCTATATGAGGGATTACAGTGTGCACCCTGTTCTATATGAAGGAATACAGTGTGCACCCTGTTCTATATGAGGGATTACAGTGTGCACCCTGTTCTAGATGAAGGATTACAGTGTGCACTGTTCTATATGAAGGATTACAGTGTGCACCCTGTTCTATATGAAGGAATACAGTGTGCACTGTTCTATATGAAGGATTACAGTGTGCACCCTGTTCTATATGAAGGATTACAGTATGCACTCTGTTCTATATGAAGGATTACAGTGTGCACCCTGTTCTATATGAAGGATTACAGTGTGCACTCTGTTCTATATGAAGGAATACAGTGTGCACCCTGTTCTATAAGAGGGATTACAGTGTGCACCCTGTTCTATATGAAGGATTACAGTGTGCACTCTGTTCTATATGAAGGATTACAGTGTGCACTCTGTTCTATATGAAGGATTATAGTGTGCACCCTGTTCTATATGAAGGATTACAGTGTGCACCCTGTTCTATATGAAGGATTACAGTGTGCACCCTGTTCTATATGAAGGATTACAGTGTGCACCCTGTTCTATATGAAGGATTACAGTGTGCACCCTGTTCTATATGAAGGATTACAGTGTGCACCCGGTTCTATATGAAGGATTACAGTGTGCACCCTGTTCTATATGAAGGATTACAGTGTGCACCCTGTTCTATATGAAGGATTACAGTGTGCACCCTGTTCTATATGAAGGATTACAGTGTGCACCCTGTTCTATATGAAGGATTACAGTGTGCACCCTGTTCTATATGAAGGATTACAGTGTATGGTGGTTACCAATTTCTATAACTAGGACGTGGATCACCTGACACTTACAAGTCAACGAGGCACCCCAAGGGATGGCCTAAGATTCCAGTTGGGCAGCAGATAGGTGCCTCTGGAATCCTTCCCTTTAAAGGGGTGTTGGTGGCTACGTAGGAACAACGGTTGACTACTGTCTATGTGGTCGGGGGTTCGAGGCTTCGCCAGGAGGCGTGGTGGGGTCCCAGCCTCCGTAAAAGGAAGTCGCTCATGAGATCTGGCAGCGGAACTGTTCGATCTTCACCTGTCCTTCGGCACTGAGCCCGGTAATGCATGAGGGTCCCGTGGCTCACGCGGCCGGCCCCCACCCACCCAGGTCCGCCCCACCCATAGACGCCAGCCCTACCCACGCCCGCCCCACTCATACACCCACCCACGCCCGCCCCCTTCTCATACGCCCGCCCGCCCCACTTATTCAACCATTCACCCAAGCTCATCCAACTCAAACACCCACTTATCCACGTCTGCCACACTTACACACCCACCCACACACTTGCTTCTCACTCACACGCCCACCCACGTCTGCTGCTAACCTCTCCACCTCATTTTTTGCCCCATGTAGTCGTATTATCCAGGTGTGGGGGGGGGGGGTCCATGATGCTGTTCTTAGCGCCCCTCTGTACAACAGTGACCTTTAACAGCTCACATACACAAGAGGAGACAGCATAGCCAGGGCTTCCTGCTCCCCCATAACACAGCTGGAACCATAACATGGTCACCCTAGAGGAGACAGAGCGACGGTCTCGCTTCATGCAGGTCGACGTTCAATCCCCGACCGTCCACACGTGGTTGGGCACCATTCCTTCCCCTCGTCGCATCCCCCCTGATATTTCCCTCTCTCCCTAGAGGAGACATGATACAAGAGAAAGCATTATCACGATACAAGAGACATGATCATACTATACAAAATTCTAAGAGACAGAGCTGTCATGGAGAGACTGGTTTGGGAACAGAATGAGGGAGACACAGGTGATAACCGGAATCAGGGGAATGGTGATAAGTATGAGGACAGTGGGCAAGTGGAAAGAGTTATATAAGGAGGTAGTAGAAGATAATATCATACATGAGAGTTCGATCCCAGGGCGAGACAATAATGCTTGAACACGTTTTCTTTCACCTGTTCACGCAACAGTAAAGTAGGCACCCACGAGTTAGGCAACTGTTGTGGAAAGCATCCCGAGGAAGGTCAGTAGCTGACCTTGCGGGGGGGAGGGGAGGGGACCTCGATACAAGCTTTAGTACAGACTTTCTGTTTCCGACAATGGCAATCATGGTCTGAACACTATACACGAGAAACACGAAATTCGCGTGTCAATGTACCCGGTAACCAAAGGGTGAGACGCGGGCCAGGAGCTGGAGCTTGTTGCCCAGGAAAGACAGCTATGTGAGCACAAACACTAGGGTGTTCATGGGGCAGTAGCGGGTACTATCGTAGAGGTACTACCCCAGCAGTACCTGTACTATCCGGTAGTGACCAGTGGGGAAGCCACACTCCCCGAGGCAGCTGACTCCACGGCGTCCACACGATGCGTCTACCTCCTCGTCCCCTCTGGACCAGACGCCAGCAACAACGATTGATTGATGATGATTGATGAAGATTAGGCCACCCAAAAGGTGGCACGGGCATGAATAGCCCGTAAGCGGAGGCCCTTTTAAGCCATTACCAGTATCAAGAGCTGATACTGGAGATCTGTGGAGGTGCGACTGCACCCTGCGTGACGGGAGATGTCTCCCCTGAGCAACCACGGCCAGTCCACGCGAGGTATCCTAGTCTGGGATACCTGAGAGTGCCAGAGACCTAACTCTCGCCTCCTAAAATTCCTCGATAACCAGTTAGGACGAGGGAGAGAGAGAGACCGGTGCAACACTCACAACCCTGGAAACAAACCGTAACTGTCTCTATTTTCCGTTTGTTAAAACTTGTAATAAAGTTGTTATATCTTGGCTTAACGTGTTTATGACGCATTAGAACGTTGTTACAACTTGCTATATTGGTTGTTATAACTGGTTAGGAGGTGTTAAAACTTGTTCGAACGTTGTAGCAACGTCATAGTTTCGGTGTGTGTTTGTCGTTAACGACCCAACCTCTGCTCGTCTTCCATGGCACAGGTTTGCTTACCTTCCAGCAAGTACACTGGTGTGTGTAGACTGGCTGCCACTTCCAGCAAGTACACTGGTGTGTGTAGACTGGCTGGCACTTCCAGCAAGTACACTGGTGTGTGTAGACTGGCTGGCACTTCCAGCAAGTACACTGGTGTGTGTAGACTGGCTGGCACTTCCAGCAAGTACACTGGTGTGTGTAGACTGGCTGGCACTTCCAGCAAGTACACTGGTGTGTGTAGACTGGCTGCCACTTCCAGCAAGTACACTGGTGTGTGTAGACTGGCTGCCACTTCCAGCAAGTACACTGGTGTGTGTAGACTGGCTGGCACTTCCAGCAAGTACACTGGTGTGTGTAGACTGGCTGCCACTTCCAGCAAGTACACTGGTGTGTGTAGACTGGCTGCCACTTCCAGCAAGTACACTGGTGTGTGTAGACTGGCTGCCACTTCCAGCAAGTACACTGGTGTGTGTAGACTGGCTGCCACTTCCAGCAAGTACACTGGTGTGTGTAGACTGGCTGGCACTTCCAGCAAGTACACTGGTGTGTGTAGACTGGCTGGCACTTCCAGCAAATACATTGTGGTGTGTAAAGTGACACCGGATATCCAGACTTTCATTTAAATTCACTTATATATCACCGAGAAAGTATAAATGTGTAGATTACTTGGAAAATCGAGCGAACGATAAAATTTTCGAGTATCGGGTTTTGCTAACAATTTCCTTCGGTATTTATATATGCAGAGACAAGGAAATAAAATGTACACGTTATCACATAATACCTGTTGGTTGACGGTCGCGCTCACGCACGCGCACGCACCTTCCCCCCCCCCTCCTCACACACACAGCTGGGACCAGTCCTAGAGTATGCAGCACCATCCTGGAACCAAGAAAGAACCTAACCAGGAAAGAACTTTTTCAGTGTCAGAGTAGTTAACAGGTGGAATGCATTAGTCAGTGATGTGGTGGAGGCTGACTCCATACACAGTTTCAAGTGTAGATATG